TGCAAGGTAATATCTGAAGAAGTCTTTGTGTGAAAATGTTGTATTTCAAATTTTTTTTTTGAAGAAATGATTTATCTTTTTAATTTAATGAAGAAAAATGTATACCTTTATGATAAAATAAACGAGAAATATGAAGTTTTCTTTAATTTGCGCACGCTTGTATCATAAATATTGACCTACCTTTCCACACTAAGACAAGGGTAAGTAAGCACTGATAAACATCTGGAGCCCATTTTACAAATCAACTTACGACTAAGACCAAAATTCATTCTGCTAATAACTTTCTTATTTGCATGAAATTGAAAATGGTTTCACACTTTTTAAAATGAATGTAGAAAGATATTTTCATGATAAAAAAATTTAAACACAATTATCGTTAATTTTGCTAACATTTACTAAAGTGTCTTAGTCGTAAGTTTTTATGTAAAACGGGCCCCTGAACATAAAACCATTTATGGAAAACAAGTAATACTATTCTGTTTTGATTAGTAACAATGTACACTGATTAAATCTTTTCTTCTTGATCCCTCATTGTTTTTCCCCTCTCCCCCTTTCCCCGTCAACAACCAATATACATTAGAACTAAGAAATGGCTTTACAATTAAATTTACTGATCAATAAGCAAATATAGGTACAAGTACATTTATTTTTTTTTTAGTTTTATCGAGAAAATACAATTAATGTTTAATAATTATAGAATATTAAACATATTTTCCTGATTTAAACCACCACTTTCTTTGTTGAATTTTATTTTATATTTTTGCACTTGTATCAGCATATTATCGAGGTATTTTTTCACAACTCAAATTGCCATGAATTATCGACCAATGCAACGGAAGAGCAAACTCTATAATTCAAATAAAACTATTATTAATGATGTATAATTTTTCTTTTTGTAAGTTGTGTACATTATTGCCTATAAATTAACAATGTTAGGCCTATATCACAGTTGCGAAAGAGAAACGTCGCTATTGTGACGTCAAAAAACGCTGCTCTGACGTAAAACGACATAGGTCCCCCCTTAAGACTTGAGTTTAAAGTATGCATGTTAATTCATATAATAGCTTGGTTCATTTTTTGCATAAAATAACCCTGTAGATATACCAATTGATTGATGAACACTTGCTTTTCTCATTTGAAGCATTAAAATAAAATAGAGACCTGGTGCTTTCATTTCCTATTTTTGCAATGTTCTTGAATTTTAAGCGCTTTACTAATATCGAAAATAGCGTTAAAAATTGGCCGTTTTGTAGACTTATTTTTAGAATATGAGGGAATTAACACATCTTGTGACGTCATAATGCATTGACTAGCCAGAAAATTGCGCCATTTTTGATAGACACGCAGTCACCAAAGATCAAAGCCTTATTCAATACACTGTTTACTAAAACTATGCAGTTCAGTTTTTCAGAAATTCACAATCCAAATAAGGCAAAAGTTAACCTTGTTCTTTTCGACTTATGCCTTAAATTAAATTGAATTTCTTTTCTATTAAATATTACACTTAAAATTCCATTTATTAAGATTTGTAAAATTTCCACGAATGATCGAAAAGCGTTTGTAAAATACAATAGGCGAAGATAACAAAGAATGTCCAATCTCACAAACAATACAATCTGTGATCATACAAACTATAGACAATACAATCCGTGAATACAATACAATCCATGAACACACATGCAATCTATAAACATTACAATCCGTGAACATACAATCTACAAACAATAGAATACAATCCGTGAACAAACAATCTACAAACAATAGAATACAATCCGTGAACATACAATCTACAGACAATACACGCCCTTAACAAGACATTTAAACAGACCATCGGAAAGGCGTGTGAACGAAAGTATTGTTCTCTCGCCTACCTTCAAGTCAATTTCCAGAAGTTAAAATATTCGAATGATTTTTAGTATTTAATGGATATTTATATTGATTTTCATAAAACAATTTACATGTGTACTTATTTGGGAAAACGACGAAAGATAACTCTAAAATTTTAGTTGAACTCATGTTTTTCACTATAGAAATCAATGGAGAACGGAAACTATTTTTAAAACATCTCCCCCCCCCCCACCCCGTGAAACACAAATTCCTTTTTATAGGAAATATGACTGTCATCTCAAAAATTCATACCAAAGCTTTTTATGTTTCACGGGGGGAGGGGGAAATTTATTAACAGGCAGAAAAGCCAAAAATGCTCATTTCGTAGTGCTTTACAACTGAAACATTGTATTTTACTAGTATATATGCTTAATTTTAAAATAAAATTAAATCCAAGATAAACAAACAAGTTCACATTTAATTTTATATGCATTCTACATTAAAAAAAGATTCTATATTTTTTTCTTAAATAAGTTCCTTATCTCGAGGCGAACCCTTTGATTACAATACATGAAAATACAATATATTACATATACAGAAAACTGTTCGTATTTTGGAGGAGTAATTGTTGTCTCTCTTACAAAATATTTTTTTTCCACTTAATAATTAGTTGATATACATACTATCAGTAGAAATTTTCATCTATATTAAAAAGAAAATAGTCGATCCTTAAAGTAAGATCTACAAAATATTACTGTAAACCAACTTTTATTCGCGTGCAAGAATTTTTCGCGAAGTTCGCGATAGCATCGTCATCCCGAATATTTCTCGTCGCGAACCGGATCCGGTTGTATCAACATTTAATGAATGTTTAAAGCTTCATTAAACTGATCATTTTTAATGTGTCATTAAATTCTGTTGTATCAAAGTTTTAATGAACGAATCGGTGCATTAAACCTTCATTAATTTCCTCAATTTTAATGAAGGTAAGGGGGCTTCATTAAGTGGTCATTAAGTATGGCGGCCTACTTTATGTTTTGCCCGCTTGGCAAAAGGAGAAGAATCAGTGCTTATTGCGAGCCTTTATCACTGCACATTATGGACGAGGAAATTCGGAAATGATACCCTTTAAAAAAGAAAATAATGGACAGTCTGTCGAATCATCAATATAGACAGTAAGACATTCGGAATTAGAAATACATCACCTACCTTGTCAACAAAATTATAGGTATAAAGATGCTTCTTTAAATCAAATCACAATAGAAATCCCAACTGTAATCCCAGTGAATCCAAAATACCTTTGTGTATATTTGTAAACTAAGTGACGTCATTTCTTTCGTCATCATCTATGAGTTGGTTAGGTTTTTGTAACAAAGGTAAACAGTAAAAAAGATAAATACAGCTCCTATTTTAAGATCTACGGGTATCAATAAAATCATGCATATGAATAATAAACAGAGATCTTATTCAATATTATAATACTGTAATAGCAAGCCCCCTCCCCTTTCCCACATACACACCTTTCAGCCTAGATCTACCATCATGTAATATTTGCACAGATTGTCATTTTTTGCGTGTTAACATTTTCTTACATGTAATTAATTAAAAAAAAAAAACGTTTTTTCTCCATTGAAAAGTACTTCCAAAAGCCTGAGATTTCTATCGATCACAAGTACATACTGTACATACTGTAACAACGAATAAAAAAAAATCGTTTCGGAGATATTTTAACGGTTTATTATTTTTTTATTCATTGCTAAAGTGAAAATGTTATAAATTATTCATTGCATTGAGAAAGGTTTATTTTTAGTAGAATAAAAGAACCTGTAACCTTCTTAAAATATGATATCTTAAAAAAACGTATTTTAAGTTGTCTAAAAATTAACCTGTGTCTGTATCTAGAAAAATTGTCGGAAAGACACTTATGCAAAAAAAAAAAAAAAAAAAAAAATGCAAAACATAATTACATGTACAATACATATATGAAATCTTTTTCGCAAAAAGGTAAAATGGATTCCATTTTGCGCCGTGATACTCTCCCGTATTTTATCCTTTTCTATATTGTTAGTAGTGAACATTCTTCGTGACTTTGCTATAATGACATTGATATATTCTTCTATTCATATTGTTAGAAATAATTTGAATGTTGCTAGAACCCCCTTCCATTATTATGATTATATCTATATACATTCGTTGAATGAATTTCATAGTTTGTGTGACTGAATTTTAAGAATAAATGAATTACGAATATGAAGAGCTTATTGAGACAAAAGAGTTACATTATCAATCAGGTAGAGTGCATATAAGAAAACATAAATAGAAAAAAGATGTGTCGACCGGCCCAGACTTTAACGAGAAAAGAATGGAAGGAGCGGGAGGCCCCCCCCCCCAAGTGCCTGTAATATCAAATAATAGAAAAGTAGACAGGATAATAATGAAAGCGAAATACAAATAAACAGACTTTTGGTTGTATTTCCCTTCCATAACCCCCCCCCCATGCTACATGTATTTATGATATCAATTTTTCACTACATAAGTTCAGTTAAAAGTTGAATTTCGCTAGAATTATTTTTTCTTTCCCTGAATTCTATATATTACATTTGAATTGAATTCCGTCAGTAAATAATAAGTTAGGTATATCCTTCAAGACACTCACAGACTTCGTTAAATGACGTATTTTTTTTTAATTAGAGCTTATTTATTATAGGTATATTGTTAACAACGAAAACGCCCATGGATACGCCCCCGGAAGTATTAATGCATTGTATTGTGGGATATTTCCCTAATGTTAATAAATCTTTAATGAATTCTTAAATATTTAATGATTCATTAAGTAATAAGACTCTAATGAAGGTTTTGTACAACACACTTTAATGACGTTATTAACTAATGTATCATTAAGAATTTAACTATTCATTAGGCTTAATTATTCATTAAATTTAATGAACCTTTGATACAACCGGGTCCCGGTCCTTAAAGTGTATGTGTCTATTAACATTAGATTCAAAAAGAATTTGATCGCCAAAATTAATCGTTATTTTGATAAGATAAAGGACTATATGTCATCAATAAACAAAGGAAGAGTCTGATATCAGTATGATAAGACCCTCACACGCAATCAGTCACATTTGTTTGTTTAAACAATATTTCCTCCGATAGGAAGAAATAAATGATTAAATTGTTCCCGGGTTTGACAAGATTGAATGCTTGTTCTGTATGACAAAATATCATCTAAAACATGATACATCTAACAAGCCATGAAGAGTATTTTTGTGTTAATTCTGCATATCTGTATTTCTTCTAGTTACGGGTTAATAACATGTGATATAGCGAAAACGTGCACGGAATGGAAGGTTAGTCATTACATACACTGTTATATCATTTATGTTGTATACTTGATTATAAACATGGATGTTATATAGTTTATTCTGTGCTTATGCAACATGTAAGTGTTTTACAAGGGCCTGAAAATTTAAGCCGATATGTTAATCCCTTACATTATTTTTGCAGTTTCCTTTTTACCTTTTAAGAGACGGTTTTAAGTTAGATAAAATGAGACAAAATTAACAAATTGCTGAATATATCTTTGTCCAAATTATTTTATATCTTTAAAATTAAAGGCTTTGTTTACAGGAAATGAAATGCAGTACAGTCCCTTGTTCAGGTATGTAAAAGCGATTCCCACTCAACTGAGAATCGCATATGTACAAAAACTAGTACTTTACAATTCTTTTTATGAAGGATATGGATATAACGAACAGTATTAAAGGTCATTGTATCGACCAAAGATCTTACGAAATGATGACTTTCAACGAGACTGCTGATATCTTTATTTCATCAACTTGTTTGTCAATAATTACCCCCTTTTAGAAATTGTTCATACATAGAGCATGCTTTTACGAGCATGCTCTTGCGTATCGAATCAACGAGATATGTAAACGCCGTATGCAAGTGATGAAGGTATATTGCTGCGTTAGTAAGGGAAGTTGACGGTTCAAAAGTTAAAGTCATCACGTTTATCATAGAGCTTGGCTGGTAGATTACAATTAACGTCTTTCTCAAGTAAAACATCCAAGTATGAAACAGATGTGTCAGACTCTGTGGTATCTTTTATTTCAAATTCACCAAGATATATCGTATCGACATAGGAATGAAAATAATCAATGTTTTCACGCATAAGATTTTCAGAAATTCTGCTTCATTGGAATAAAAAAAAATAGGTCTGCAAATAACGGAACGCAATTGGTACCCATGGGAATTCCAATTGATTGTTGGAAGACCTGGTCTCCAAAATCCACATAGATATTGTCAATCAGAAACTCAAGCATCTTTTTCATATCAACTTCAGAATACTTGTGTGTGCAATCAAAATGTGTTTTTAATTAACAAAATAATTTTGCAAATGACCAATGACCAGGTATGTAAATTTACGAGTTCCATTTTTATTGAAAAAGCAGTTGTCAATGATATCAAAAAGCCTGAACTTTAATTTTTTGTGGGGAATGGTTGTGTAAAAAGATGAAAAGTTGTTAAGTTTTTAAGCTGTTGATTTCGGTAAAAATCTTATGATTTCAAATTTCGGAATTTTTGAGTATCCACATCTAATTCACTCCCCTTTTTGAATACACACTTAATTGACAACGGATTTTTCCGTTATTACCTGATCATGACACGGAACGGGTGTGACCGGTCAGCAGGGGATGCTCACTCATCCGTGGCACATGACCCCACAATGGTTGTTTTGGATGTCCGTGTTTGCTCTGCTCTTATATATTGTATTGTTTTTTGTTGTTTTTTTTTTTTTTAGATCTTTGAGCGTGAATACTATTCGTTATATTTATATGTTTCATGGTTAAAACATGATCATGTAAGCAAATACAATCCCTAACTGAGTCGAAGATAGAATCAAGTCTTTTTTTCATAAAATATGTATTGTTTGATAGACTTACTTCCTGCACGTCTTCTAATTTCAAGCAAAAGTTAATGGACTAAAAAAAACATTTTTAAGGGGGTAGATTATTATAGTTCTAGGGAAAAAGTTGAGAAGACACCCCAACAAAATTCTGTGTGCATTGTCAGATGGCACACTTTGTATCCCAATAAACATCATGATAAGGTTCAAGATAGAATAAATCACTTCTGATTTTCATGCTTTGTTGATTGTATTAGAGCTAAATCATCAAATCGCTGGAACAATGGTGGATGATCCGAAGTACAGAAGAGTGCATGCAACTTTTATGTCAGATGACTGGATATCATTTGTCATAAAATGGAATCCTCCAAGTAAGAATTACTAAATATTGGATCGGAATATTTCAAGATAGAATTACTTATTATTTATACAGAAAGATAGTAGTTAGTCATCTGTTTTATTGCAATAAATGGATTACTTGCCATCAAATACATGTATTATTATAAAGCAAGTAAAACCTTAATGCAGTAAATATTCTTCTTTAAAAAGCAACACAAATAGTGATGAAGACAACATTTAGATTGCTTTTGAGATCATTACATTCTTCTGACTTTTCTTGAATCAATATTTGAATATTTCTATTATCAATATACTTATAGTATCTTATGCAATAAATTTATATGTGTATTTTACTCGTCGTTTTTAGAGAAGTTGTGTCCTATCAAGTTAATTTCTAAATTTCCAGGAACTGGAATTTAAAAGCAGGACCAGAGAATATTTTCGTGTCAAGGAAGAACGTTTTCATTTTTAAAAAAATCTTATTGATAAAATCATCAAGAAAAATATGAATTAGATGAACGTTTTTGCTTTCGGACATAGTAATTTTTTGATGTCTGTCTCTATTTTTTTTTAATTAATACAATTTTTCTCTTGCATTCCAGCTTCACTTTTTCTGAAAGGATTCCGAATACAGATTGGTGATGGATTGGAAACCTCTATCTTAAATAATTTTTGCTTGCTTTTTCCATCTGACAGATGTTTTGTTGGAACATTAGTACTAAAGGTATTCTAGCATTCCACGATTGTTATGATGGTATTTTATAAGTAATCTTGTTATATTCTAAAGGGTAATTGGGACTCCAAAGTCTTCCGTTGTCGTCAACAGTGCTTAAGTACATGCATCCTCTTCATGTTCATTTATTGAGGTTGCATGTAATAGAACATGCATGTACAGACAAGCAAATGGGCGACTGCAATGAAAGTCTAGAACTCAATAAAAATTGTCAAAAATAATACGAGTATTATTAAAAAAAAGATCCTATCGGATTGTGAGTGAAACGGTGGATTTGATTGAGCCTTATTAATCCTATTTATTATTGAAAAATATTAAATTCAGAACAATTAGAATAGTTAAATGCAACTGAATGGTACAATCTTTTTAAAAAATATATATTTATAGTAAATTACGTTCTAATCAATTTTAAAATTCACGAGAAAGGTATATGAAGAAGAATAATGTACAATTATGGACTGCTTAAACGGGAGACATTACCTATCATGCAAGCGCCCTCGGATGACAACTCAGACCTGATATTTGGTGATGTCTCCCGTCTAAACAGTCCATCATAGTTTTATTATCCCGAAGAATCTAAATTTCAATTAAAAGTAGAAAATAGTAATCAAACCTCTTGTGTTCCCCATCTCTGCTCTGATTCCATACTTTCAAAATTCAGCTCAACGCACTTTTTAAACTCACGTGGCTTTTCGCACAAATTAAGGTCACATTCTTCTAATGTAAATTTGTGTAACGCGATAACAAAATATATTTCTTAAGGTAGGACAAAACACCCGAGGATTCTATTTTAAGCAATTTCTTAAAAAGTTCAGGAGAAAAGGAGAATAATATTACTATACTGACAACAATGAATGGTTCATGTAAGAAAAATAATAAGTTTTGGCATGTTTGCGTCATATTTTGTGAAAGAATCAGAGAATCATATATATTGGTCACTTGGGGGCTTAGATTTTGGAATGTGTTTACGCTGTCTCAGTGCAATAAACAAGCATGTAACAGTCTGTTATAAAATTCAGTGTAACTTTTGTTCAATAAAGAGTAGAGGGCTGATACTTGGACACATATATAAGGAGTCTCCATTCCTTATATGTACTACAAAGGTCGAGGTCATATCCAAAGGTCAAAGGTCAAATATTGTGACGTCATTTATTGAATCTTTAGCTTTTTTGCCATTGAATTCGAAATTTTTTTAATCGCCAAAATATTTGTAATCACTGGTTCAATTTTCTTTATTTTTACACATTTTATTCTAGGATCCATTTGAATCATTCTGTTGATTTTTTGTAAAAATTGAATCATACATTTCCTCTTAAGAAAACTTAAACTGTCGGATATTTACATGTGATTTTTTAAATCCGATGCTATGTATGTACTAATTTCACTTAATATTTTACTCAAATTTTCCAGTATCAATTTGACTTACTGATTTTAAGTAATAAAAATGTTATCTTTATTAAGAGGTTTACACAAATTTGCAATAGATCAATTGATAATTCTAAAATTAGGCTCATTATCAAGTCGAATGTCTGATTTCACAATCTTCTTACAGGGGTCTGCTAGGCCATATTTCAGACTATGTTGGCAAAAAATGTGTGGTTGAATTTCTTTCACATCATATATGAAGAGAGATTTTGCATCCTAGAACAAAATATCATAGTTTTAGAAAAATTGAATTTGAGGAAAATTTTGACCTATCTATTGTGTCCTACCTTAAGTGAATAACTTACTTTTGATCTTATTCCATTACTTTAAACATGGTTCAAACAAAATAATTGGTAGGTATTTTATAATATGTATAATATGCTCTTGGATGAAAGAATAAGACAGTTCCCAAATGTTTTTTCATGGTTTCACGTCAAATGCAGACATTTTTTGTATCAGTTCATTTTAAAGCATACCTTTGCCTTTGCTTAATACAGAAACAGTGAAATTCATGTAACTTCTGTATTTTCAGTACATGAATATGACACTAAGGCGCAAGATGATAGAAGTACTTCTCGTCTGTTCGACTGCTTTACATGTTAAAAGGATGGCATTTTTTCCACGTTAACTTTCCGAAATCTTGCATCATGAACGATACCTTCCAAAGCAAACTTTCAAGGTTTTAGACCATAAATGAAAAAGAATTTTCTTTTCAATACTGACAATTTACTGTGTTGGAAGAAAAACAATTTATTATCCTATTCTTTGACATGATTTCTTTATGCAGTTTTGTCATTTTTCGGTGCTGCATTTCGACAAGACCAAGACACGTATGGAAAATGTGCAAAGTAATTAGAAAAAATACTCATCTGTAAAAAGGCAATTTGAGCATTTCAACTACATGTAAATAATATCAACGAAAGATCGATTGATTAATTTGTAAATACCTGTGGTATAATTATAAACATGTAACATCATACAATTCGTGAAAAAAATCCCTTTTAAAAAGGGAGTTTTAAAACTTGAGAAAATGAATTTAGATAATATGCACCTTTCACATGAAATATTTGATAATATAAGGGTTACGTCTCGCACTGAATCTCGATAATTTTAAGTTTCATTGCAAGAATAATGTGACCTTAATTTGTGCGGAAAACCATGTGAGTTTAAAAAATGTGTTGAGCTGTATGTCAACGGACAACTTTGAGGTCATCGAATTGTCACACATCACGTGACATGTTATAAATCCATCAGATTGACTGTATAATACATTTTAAATACATTTATATTTTTATCCATTTATTAGACAATGTGATGAGAGTAATAATAAACACAACCAAGAAAGGTAATTGTTGAATCATGTCATCTGTTCATACTTTTTTTTCTAGAATGTCACTTTTGAAATTCACTGCAATTACACAGGATATTCCTCACGAGTTGATATTTTAATGAACAGCTTACCGATGTCTGATGCGCACAAACCTTTACCAGATCACCTGATTATTGAAAGGCCGTTTAAGAGTAAGCTCAAAATTTGATATCTTAGTATACAGGAGCAATTTCTGAAACTTATAGAGACGGAAAATGATATCCGAAATTGAAATACACATGTATATGTATGCTAAATCGGATTTATTTGTAGTTTGCCGGATATTTTGGACAAATAAACCTAATCAGATGTAAAGAAGGAAAGGGAAGCTAATTTAAATTCCTCCTGTCATGGCAATATAGTACAATACTTATTTATACTATTTATACTTATTTATATTATATAGGGGGACAGAGACTGACATCACATTACCTGGAGGATTCTGGTCAGCTTGACTATGAACAATTTCTCTTCAAACAAGAATACAAAAAAGAATGTCAAAGAAATGACGAAGAAGAAAACCAGCCCCATCATACGATCGGATTGATAGTTTTAGCAGTTATCATTGTTATCTTGATACCCATTCTCCTTCTACTGAAAATTAAACAAGGTACGTTAACGAAGAAAAATTATCTTAAACCTAGAAGTCATGCAAATGCCTTATTTTTATTAAATAGGCTGTCACGTTTAATTTCGTTATTATAGGTCAAAAAAGGTGTGACTTATTTTGTCCTAGGAATGAAGATGATAAAGAAAACAGAATAACAAAAGTTGAGCAAGGTAGGTCTATATTTCTGTGTTTTATTGTTTTCTCCGAATTTGAGTCAATGATATTTTAAGAAATGGAAAAGGGGTTTGTGGGATGGGGAGTGGATGATTTTGAAAGCACCCTCTTGGCAGCTTTCATTCTTTGTTTTTATGTACATTTCCTACGCCAAAGAAAATGGAAAATGATTAAACAATTAAAAACACTTATCTTCTGCTATTAGATGAACTTCAATTGATTATACCTTTTGTTTCATTTCAGAAATTTTGAACACGGAAAATAATGTTCATGTCTGTGTTCCTTGCAATGACAATCTTGACAGCCACATCTTGTCTGAACATATTGTAATCAAAGAATCTCCTCAGAGCAGCCTTCTTAATTTATCAACCTCTCTGTCTTCGGATGGAACGCAGGATATTGAACAGCGCATGCTCGAGATAAATTTTGGCAGTCCATTGAATAACCTTAACAAATAACGTGTTTGTTTGATAGAGTTTTATTTTATACCTTTCTACTACCTCCTATCTGTTTATATAATTATATATTTTATTATACTTGTAGCACTCAAGTTAAATTGGCTAAAACGTTGTTTGTCACTTATACGGGGGAAATTGAAGGATTTAGGAAAGTATTTCAAGTGTTTTCTTGCTGAGTTTACATAGAGTACCGGTACTTTAATCAAATGTAAATCATGTTCCAATCATATTATCTGTATGTTATAAAGTCACAAAGTTAGAGCTTTCATATATGTTATACTTTACATGGACTTATTAATATTGCAAATAGATTGAGTTTTGATACGGGGTTAATTATTTTTCCACTCACAACTGTATAATGTATATCAGGAAATACAGATCGATTTTAAAAGAGGGAAGTATGTTAGCTCCTACGAACTAACACTTTGTTGTATAATAATTCAGAATTATTTCCACCATATGGTCGTATCAGATGTACCAATTTTCATAATTATTTTCCTAAAATTTGAAAGCAAAATTGAATGTGCTCACTGAAGATTTTATAAATCGAAATGATAGGAGCAGGGGATATTGAAATATGCTAATTGCCTGACTGAATTAAAAGATATCTAATTATGTACTTTAATTATTTCTTCCTGTTGTTTGAGAAGTAACGCCCGCTTTTTTGAATTGGCTATATGAAGAATTAAAGAAAGGTAAAGCTGAAAAAGCATCATCAAGTACGGTTGACTCTTTTAAGGTAAGATTTCAAGCTTGTTCTTAAAGAGAACCGAAAGCATGCCGTTCATTCATTTGATAGCTATGCAAAAACCATTTCAAATATAATGTCCTGTTGCTTTTTTCAGTCATCGGACTTGAAAATTCGCCTGTTATAGTCCACAAACAAGGACATCCTTATAAACCTTTATAGATTTTTGGCGCACTTTGCTATAATCACGGACGAAGTACAAACGCATCCTCTATTTCCAGACATAGTACAGTTTTCATGTGTATGAATTCATTTTCCAAATAACGAGAAGGAAATATTGCAATACGAGGTCTTTTTAGTTACTTAATAATATTTTTGGTACCAATCACGGATAAGGATGAAAACAAACCACCTCTCATCAACTGTGTATTCAATTTACTTATGAATGACCAGAGGGGTGGGTTACAGTAAGATGACATTTTTGCTTTTGGGAATTTATTTTTTGCTGTAAGAATGTAAAAATCTGGTGAAATGTCCCCTCACTGGTGAAAGAGAATACGGTTTGAAGAAAATCAGAGTAAGTATAACATGTATATTACACTTCATATAAAGGAATCTAATTAACCGCACTTAATCGTAATGTTTTAATAATTTATACTGCTTCATGATTCCAATTTCTATTACTTCCTGAGTAGCAGTACGTGTACCAGTGCAGGTAATATCCTTGAAAAAATGTTAGAATTATGCCGAAACTTAAACTACTGGGAAGGCAAGAAATTAAACGAATTTTAAACAAGTATCCCCCCCCCAAAAAAAAACAGCACAATTTGTGTTATGATGGCGTGAAATCAATAATTTGATCCGGCTTTAAATAATTAGAAGTGTCCTAACATTGCGTTTTATTTTGCATTATGTGTCAGATTATCAATTAATGATCATTCTTAACTCAAAAGACATTACACATAAAAACGCACGTTCTAAATGACATCTAAAAGGTTGTTTATTTCACACAGAACAAGAAAAACAAACTTAAGATTTTTTAAATTAAGTAATTGTGTCTGTATTTTACAACAGAAGACCCAATTGTTTGTCAAACTGGCTATAGATAAATTGAGAATGCATGTTAAGAAAAAAAAATCCAAGAAAAAATTATTTAAATTAATCCTTTAATTTTGAAAAATTATATCAAATGGAATTTATCATGTAGGGTGTCAAAAATTTCCGTATAAATGTTACCTTATTTTAAGTTTAATACGGGGCATAAAGGTTAATGGTACTAGTTTTCAATTGATTCCTAATCAAATTTTCAACAATGTTCCGATGATTGTGATGTTCCTTGAATTTGCTACGTTATTGTACCAGCAAATAAAGAACAAATGTATCTAATTCTTCTGAACAGAATTTTGATGTTAGTGATGAATGTATATACAATTAGGGTCTAAAATCCACTTTTAATAAGCATTTTTGAAAAGAATCAAACACAGAAAATTTTTGATATAGTTAATTGATGAAAACTACTTTCCGTTATTTATGAATAATTATGTAACCATTTGCATGTGTTTCCTGTTTCAGGTACAAGTATTTGACAGCATGGCTGCACAGTTTATAATTACATGTGATTACTGTGACAAACCGGCCGAATGTTTCTGTAACCCGTGTCAAGCAAGACTGTGTACGAATTGTGTAACCATACACCTGCAGCAACAATCAGAAGACGGGCATGAAATTGTGCTTAACACCAAACGTAAAAAGAAGTACACATCTCTAAAATGCAAGACCCATCCAGAGCTAGAGTGTCACATGTTCTGTAAAACGTGTGATATTCCAATTTGTTCCAAGTGCGGTACAGGAAAGCACAAACCGCACGACCTGGCGGACTTTGAGGAGAAAATTGACAAATTATCTCAGACATTGGATCAAGAGCAATGGGAATTGGAATATACAATAAAACCGGTATATATGAAAATCATCCAACAAATCAAGTTCCGAATATCTTCTGTTCGAAAACATTACAGGTCACTTTCTGAAATCGTGGACCACAGTGGAGTAAAATGGCATCAAGTCGTTGAAGAAGTCATCATAGATCTGAAAAATGAACTCATGCAAATGGAAATTGATCAATTAAAGTTGCTTGAAAGAGAACATGAGATGTTCAAGGAGATCCTGGAACAGATAAACAACACAATAAATTATAATTCTGATTTAAGTGCATCAAAAAATCGAGCTAAGCTATTGCAATACACGTCAGAAATGAAGAGCTTCAGCTCGATTCCTCCCCTCACTGATTTTATACAATCAGAATTCACAGCTGAATCCCCCTCTAAAGAGAAGCTGAGGACCCTGATTGGAAGCTTAGAAAGATTTAAAACCATAGATCTGACTGGATACAAGGTACCCCTCGGACCACTCCCAAAAATGTCCAAGTGTATTCTCAAACACCCAGTTCTGATATCTCAGATCGAAACAGATTTTCCACCTGACGACCAGGGAAATAAGATCTACGATATCGTTGCTGCAAGTCATGGTCGTTTTTGGGCAGCAGGATACAGTAGGACTATGAAACAGTTCAGTTTCAATGGTCATTACATCGATTCATTTACTGTAGGTCACAAGAGTTCTTATATTGCCACGTCCACAAAGGGTTTGCTTCTGTACAGTGACCAGTCAGATAACACAATTAAAATGATCACCTCCGAAGGCAACACGGAGACACTTGTACATTTCGGAGACTGGGTCCCAAAAGGATTGGCTAGCTCCGAGTTCAAGAATGGTCAACGACTATTTGTATGTCTCCACAGCAAAGATGACCATAAGGTTGCACAGTACAACTCAAAAGGCAGCTTCGAGCAGGAGTTTCTCTATCCGAGTGAGCATCATCCATTATATATTGCTGTTAACAAAAATGGGGATATAGGAACAACAGATCACCGACAAAACTCTGTGGCCGTCATGGATAAATTTGGAAACCCCCGATTTATCTACAAGGGCAACATAGAATCAAACAAACACAAGTCCTTTCAGCCAATTTCAATTGCAACAGATTATTTCAGTAATATTCTTGTAACAGACTGGGCGAATCACGGAGTTCACATACTCAGTGGTGATGGTGCCTTTCTCCGCTTTATCTCTCCTCAGCAGCGGATAAAAGAGCCCAGGGGACTTTGCGTTGTAGGTGAGGGATTACTCTGCATGGGTGAATGTGCCTCTGGGACCATAAAAGTTTTCAAATATTTAAAAATTTGAATGAAGTCCTTCCAGGTACATGAACTTTAAACACAAAGTTCTCAGAATAAAAACTTATTTTTTATTAAGTAGATATCATGTGGACATTTCAAATAATGATTCAATAAAATTGTTATGTTGAATGTTGACAAAACTTTTCATACAAATTGTAATAAATATATTTTCACTTTTAATTGTTTGGTTTTTCTATTTATCTGATTATGACAGGTAGCACATTGCGAACGTGATCGGAGATGTGACATGATGAAACCTCTGATGCTCTAGAGGTCTACATTTGCTCTTCTTTGCTATTATCCTTTATTCTTACAACACTAGTTATGGCTCTACTGTGTTGTTTAGACGATTTGAATGAGTCATTTTCTCTTTTAGATAACGAACAAGTTTATTCAGTTTTTCATTTGAGAATGCATTTACATTTTGAGGATTATATAACATAAATACTTTTATACGACAAAAATGAGTGTATTTATCTTGAATTCGTTGAAGAGTTTGCTTATCATTGGTTAAACAGGCAAACACACAACGATCCCTCCGAGATTGTAGAAAATTTAAAATCTTGACAACCACTTGTTCATCTGGATAAACGACCTCTTTCACCATTCGATCACTCGGTACAATTATAAACGCTTGATTAGAATCTATTAGATAATCAACATCTGAATCGTTTCTGTAATTATTTTCTGCATTTTGTGAATCCACAATTGTCAAATTGAATCGGTTACCAAGCTGTTGTTGTAAAATTTCTAAATCGGTGTTAAGAAATGGTTCAGTAGCAATGTTCAGACTATTTTCCGAGAGGCCAATAAGAGCAATATCTGAAATTAGAAAAAAAAAATGCGTACACACGTACATTATATTGTATATAATTTTTTTTATTCTGAAATTTATTAAATTTAATCTGCATGATCAGTGAGCATTTCTGATTAACTGCAAAGAATACATTTTAAATATTTACTCTTGAAAAATAGGCTTGAATATCCATTATTATATTAAATGCAAGACTTTCATAGCGGTCGAACTTTTTAGAAGATCCATTAACCCCCACCCCCTCTCTCCTCAATCATATTGGTATCAACTATGTTTTGCTTCATAGTTGCCTTTAATAAGCCGATCAGTGTTTAGCGATGATAGCACAGTGGTATGTTACGTATGACTGTAAAGCATCAAAGATTTTTGTGTCTGTCGACATTTCCTGAAATCTGTTCAGGCTCCGGGGTCATAAAACTTGGAAGAGCTCTTTTTGATCCCAGTTTCATTTTTGCACTATTGATTCCTTTAGTCAAAGTGTGAATCAGGAATTGACATCTTTATAGCTCATGAGCACATTGTGATCAATCGACTAAATTTTGCAGAAAACATGCGTATTTAAATACCTTCAGCAAAGAATTAAAATATTAGCACAACCCACGATCCAAAAATGAAAACATTTTTTTTTCGGACACAGATCTTTCATTGTGCTATTCAATATTTTAGATTAGAGATTGTCTTCTGCATGAAATTTTAAAACAAATAAGGAATTATCCGTATAAAATTATGTTAAAATGGCACATTTTATGAAATTCTCAGAGCTAAAACAGGCCCAAAGTGGTTCTTGCTCTTTGGACATTTCAACTATAAATTATTTATACTGATGATTCCTGCAGATCGGACGCTTAAGATTTTCTTTTCAAAGGTGGTATCTTCCCTGACATTAAAAATAATCTTTGGGATTTATGCTGATTTCAATGTAAAAGAAAGACGGAATGAATCCATGAATCTTTTTAACCATGCATACAAAATAGGAGCAGAGCAAACACGGACATCAAAATCATCAGAGGTGGGATCAAGTGCTATGGAGGAGTGAGCATCCCCTGCTGACCATTCAATGCGTATGCCCCTTGTCTTGATTTCGAAATAGCGGAGAAATTCATCGACAATTCATTGTGTAAATAATGGCCTAACAATATGCATGAAAACCGTCAGTCAGCATTTGATTTAATGAGAAATTGTAATTGCTGACAAGGTAATTGTATCGATCATGGAATTTAATAAATGATGACTCTAAACGAGACTCCTGATGTTCTTGTTTCAGCAACTTGTTTGTCAAGTTAACGTTCCTGGTTTTAAAAATTGTTCTTACATAGGGCTTTCTTTTGTATATTGAATCAACTGAGAGAGAAAAACCATGTATGCATGTGATGAAGGTTTATTGCTGCTTAAGTAAGGTAAGTTAACAATGGAAAAATAAAGTCATTTCGTTTGTAGTGCAGCTTGGTTGTTAGATTGCAATTAACGTCTTTTTCAAGTAAAATACTAGTATCTAAATTTGAAAAGATGTGTCAGACTCTGAGGTATCTTTTATTTTCAACCGGGATATATCGTATCGACGTTAGAATCGTAACAACAATTGTTAATTAACAGTACGTCATCGATATCACTAAATGTCGAGTTGACGAACGTGACGAAATAAAGCTTTCAGAGAAGATCTAAGTTATACGAGGGTTGATCCAAAAGTAATGTCACAACTTTGATAAAATTGCTATAAATCGACGTAAAGCAACAAAATTACACATGAAGGAAGCTTTATTTATTTCAAATCAGACCTAAAATATTCAAAGGAATATGATGTATACTTCTCAAAATATCGGATTTTAAACAATGCGCGTTTATGGTAGTCGCCGCACCTAAATATAACGTCATATGACGGATACACACCGTCATACTTTTAAGTGTTTCCCCTTCCTTTCATTAAAAAATATTTGTAATTCGCAAACACTTTCATCAATTCCACTTTCTTTTAGAATTCTTGGTACTATTATACACTAACTCTTTTCATAATTAATCCCTCTGTCAAAATTTTTTGAACAGCAGCATAAGATAAACTTAAAAATTCACATGTCACTCTATACGTCTGTCTTTTTTCACAACGTCAGACACCACTTAACGTTTCCGTCCGATCTCCTTTCTTTCGGTCTTTTTGTCCTCTGCTATTCATTCAGTGACCAATCACCCGACCAAAATTGCTGAAACCATCTATCAAGATGTCTCTTATGTACATTCTTTATTCTGTAAGTCTGATTGATTAACGAAAATGTCGCTAGTGATGATTCCCATATTTTGAAGCAAAAATGCTTTACAACTCGTCGAGCCTTTTTACCCCCACTTCGACAATCCCTTTGCTCAATTCAATAGAGTAAAACAACAATGTTTATGATCAAAAATACCAATGCCGTCATTTAATTTTCAATTAAAAACTAGAAAATGACAAGAATTGTGTCTTTAAAAAAATTGGGAGATTAGGTGCTTTTTTAAAATCTTTTTAATATGTTTGTCGTTTTTATTCTAAGAAAAAATACACTTTAAAACGTGACGTTCCGTTGTGACGCGGCGACACCCCCTATGCTCTATGTTTTAAATATCTATAAAATAAATTCAAATTAACATTATTAAATTAAAATTTCAATATTATAATTAGATTTATATGTGTGCATCTTTTGGTATATTGTATTTGATAATATGACGCCAAATATAAAAGATATGGACACTGTGACATTATTTTTGGATCAAACCTCGTATCTTCTTCAAAAGGACACATACATTTCATTTTCTGTCGTTTTTCTGATTATTTCTTAGCTGAACGCCTAAATTTACTGAAACAGGGAATATAAGTAATTGCTAGTCGATCTGTTTGTTTCCTATCATCTTGTGTCACTACAAAAAATTTAGCAATTGTTATAAAATATCTGGTTAAAATCTGAAAAATTTCGATTGGGATTGGTCAAAACTTCTCAATATTTTAAATATAGTGGACTCATTATTTGCTTTTTAAGAACAACATCAATGACTGTCTATATGACTTTTTCGTAAGGATCGATTTTTACCAACATTAGGGATTCTGAGTGAAATGACTTACCCATAATTGACGTTGATGGTGGCCTTGACTGTTTTCGTTTTATAAAAATGAGAAGAATTCCGATTCCGACTGCAAATATTATAACACTGAAAATGATGATGATGTTGAGGTTTTTGTTAAATTTTCTTGGAGGCAATGTAGAAGTATTACTGTAAGGAACAACCAGTGAGTATAATGGTGTCATACCGCATCCCCTCTCTGAAAAAAGTTCATGAGTTTTACATAGTTTTTACTATAAAACTAAGGTTTTGAAATTCTTTTGAAAAACACATTGATAAAATGTATCTATATTGTTTTGTTAGATTTCTTCCAATACGCTACTCTTGATTTGAATTAAGAATTCGCAATAAATGCTGCCTTTGGGCATTTACAATTTATATCTACGTACAGATAAATAATATTTCGTATACATGATTAAGGATAGGAAAGGCTATAAATTCAAACTGATGTTTATTTCAAGATTATATCAAAGCAGTTTTGAATCTTTTTACTGGATATTGACAATGTGATTTAAACACACAGCTAAAAAATATTAAAAGTAAAAAAAAAAAAGCATTATAGATTATAAAGTTGTTAAAACTAGACACAATCATATAGAAATAAATGATTTTAGTTGGAATTTCAATTATTGTTAATAAACTTCAATTAAAGATGTCGCTCTCAAAAATTACTTTTCTCGATGTATGAACATCCTCCGTGCATCCCGTCAGGGTTAAAATATATCCTAAACACCTGTTTTGTCAAGATATATCAAAACATTAATAATATAATGTAGTAAATACTGTAAATCATGAAATATTCGCGATGCCTTATTTTAGCGGAATAATCATATTAACCTCTTCATAAGCGAAACGGATTTCACGAATTGTGGTTACTGATCTTAGGGAATATACGCGAGAATGAACTTTTTGCGTAAACACTATCTCTTGTTATTTTGCAAAAAGAAAGAACTTGACAATGAAAAGTGGTTTACCGTAATCAAATATGCTCAGTTTGAGCGTTTAAGTATAGAGTCTACAATTTATTGTGACAAATGATTTGACTTCAATTGAGATAATTATTTTTCATAATTGTTTTTTTAAAAGTTGTATCTTCTTGTACTTTTGTCTTCAAACGTTTATGAACTATAGAACTGTTATGGGACGATGTTGTTGATAGTCTCTCGACTGTCGTTCTATAAGTAATGCAAAATGCTGTTTATGATAAAATTTACGAGCGCTGAATGTTTTCTTTCGGTCGAAATGAACTATTTGAGGATTCAAAAATCATTGAAAACTGCATGCCTTTCCCTACAATCATTTCCAAGAAAATGTTTAAAGTAAGCATGGTCAATACACTAAGTTGAACACTGTTTAAAAGGCTTTGTGCTAAAAAATGAAAATGATATTGAAAATGTGCTTAATTACAAAATCGCTGAAGAACCAGTAATATAGACGTGGAATCAGAGAGAAAGCTGTTGTCTTATTATAAAAAAACCAAGGTTGCAAAAAAATTTCTTAACTGCAAGGGAAGTTAAATTACTCTTTATTGTCTGACAATGCTCTGATATTTTTTAAAAAAATGAAGAAATCAAGATGAACTAGTGCTAATTGTAACGGGAAGAGGTCCACAAACCTACACATAAGGAAAAATCAAGGATTGTGTTTATTGTATCTATATTAATTTATTTAAATGTACTTAATATCAAGGCATTCAAAGAGTTTCGAAAATACGAAATCAAATTTTACTTAACTGCAACATGGCATGTTGAAGTTAAATTACTAAATCCCATCCTGTTTGGCTGATTATAGGCATTTAAAGTTTTAGCCAGTTGCAGCGCACGCATGCGCGTGATTTCTGAAAATTACTTTATATCATATCGCTGCATGACAATGTTTTAAATTTCAAAGTATTTCGTTAAGATATAGATTTTTTTAAAAAAATGAAGAAATTTGACCATGTCAAATACTAATATATTCTTATATTCAAACACATTTCATCAGAAAATAGAAAAGTTACGGCTATATCAATTATATTGGTCATTTACATTTGATCGCGCTCTTGCAAGCAAGTGCGCGCAATATGACCTTGATTCCGAAATCTACATCACATGTCGATTTTACTTACATCAGATATTTACAAGATTGTAAGTTAATAATAAGAAAAAAAAAACAACAAAATATCATTCGGCTTATTGATCAGTCGATGATAACTTCGTTTACATGTAATATTTCGTTGTGTTGAAAAACAAAATATTCCCAAGAATATACTAGCATGTTATATTTTTTTCCAATATAGGGCGCATCTATAATTACCCGAACTCCGTGCGCAACTGGGTTTGGAAGGTCTATAATTTTACTACAATTCCTCAGAGGTTTCTGCAAAAAACAAAAACAAAAAACAAAAAACAAGCATAGCATTGACAGAATTATTTATATACTTTACGTCGATTGTTACTACATTTCTCCTGAATATAAAAAACCTTTAGCCCCCACATAAGAATCCAATATTGGATCATATACCGTAATAGTTTAAAATAGTTACTTTGGTTCACTATGGAAAATACCATGCTATGCAAGAATTTAATTAAGGATTTATTTATAATCATTAGCTAGCTATTTGATATGTTAATGCCTAAACAGTTTTAAAAGTAAAAATGAATTGATACTATAAATAAATAAAAAAAATGTTTACAGATGAGCAACTGAATTCCTTAATTTTCTTGTAATAAGTGTTGTTCACTTCAGCAACTTCAAATATGGCTTTTTGGTAAGAAAGATTTTTCATAGCTTCCCAAAATCCACTTGGCAGCATTATTGTTATCTTGATCTCTCCGGCACAATGTGAGTCGAGGAAGGGAAACCATTGAACGTTGTAAGCACAAATAGTTTCTACAATAGAGGAAAAAGTCAAACAACAAAATGTTTCTACGTACAATAGATAAATATTTTATAGAAATAAAATCTTAATTCAGTTACAAATAAAACAGATAAAATCTTATAGCCACAAATAGAAGTTAGAGTTTTTTTTAAAAAGTCAACCAAAGGGTGCTTGTAGACTAGACGCAGAATCAACAACACCAAACCACAAAATAACGAGGCCGAGGTAATTCGAGTGCGCATGATTTTGCGCAGCTTTTTATTTTCATGCAGTCATAAGTGCAACAGAACGCCTTTCCCAAATATTGTAATTCTAATATAGAATTAACATTATCTGTAACGTCTATTGGTCTGGAAATGTGATTTTACGACAATAATTAGGAAAAACGCTGAAATGGCTCTAACGGCGTAGCTGTTTTCCGATTTTGTACGTAATGAACGACGCTAGCTGAAAAATGAAACATGGCTCGCAAATAGGTTCGTAAACGTCCAAGGATATTGTACTTAAAACTGATGATAGAAGATCAGTCTAAACTATTTTTACCGCAAAAATCATATGCGCCGACAATTCATCTGCACTGATATTTATTTATCCCGTAATATGGCAATTTTAGAGGTATTGGATATTGAGGACATAAACGTTTATAATTAAGACCTTGACCAACCTAGATGTGTAACATTTTTAAAATTTCACAATTTGGTGACTTTTTACATTAACTTTCATTTACTTGACTGAAAAAGAAATCTCTAGGGCAGAAATACAATATTTGTGATAATTTGATGCTATTCCAACAAATTCCCATGGGGTCCAATTCTTTTGAGATGATCCACTAAGAAATCGGGGTGATAAACATTTGATTTTTTAATCTTAAAACAATAAACATAATAAACAAAAAATTATCAAATCTCTAGGGTAGAAATAATTAGACTCGGTCTCGTTAATTTTATTAATAATTCTTCTACCACACATTCATAACGTATTCCATATGGACAATAAAAATAGCGTAGAATATCCGCACTTAAATTATAATTGAACATTTCATGGTGTACAAGTACATATTATAATAAAACACTTACCAGAATCGTTGAAGGATAAACAAAACTGAAGAAGGCCAATCATAAACAATGTTGCACATTCCCGCTTCATTTTATTTACATATTTTAAGTAACAAATTAGAACTGCATTAGAAGGGCTGAGTGAGAAACAAGGAGCTTAATACATTGTAACAATAAAATACTGCGGGATTGAGTTCATACAAGTCATGTATATTTAAAGGTTGTTGTTTGATAAACTGATTTATGTTCTAGTTATCATTTAAAAGGAATCTACTGAATATGTCTGTCGTTACAGCTCAGGGAACACGCGTGCACAGTGCTTTTGTTTTGATAGCGATGGATTCATGATTAAATTTTTCTATTGATTACTCAATATGACATGCATTATGGTTATTGTTTTGAGAAAAAAATGCAATGAGTTTGAATGAATGCGTTGAAAGAAATAAGGATTTAATTATTAATTTTGGTTACCATGCGTTGAAAAAAAAAAGAATAAAAGTGGTCAAACAAAAAAATTTTGAAATATTTTTTGAGCGTTAACACATAATAATATTTGCAAAATGATGTCTGAAAAAACCTTTACATTGTGATTAATATTGTAAGAAATAAAAGATTTTGACCAAAATGAAAAATTAAAAATTCAGTCCGAATTTCTTCTGCATTACAATACATTGACTTTTGTTCCTGTATATTTTCTTCAAATAATAAAATATTTAATTTTCAAACTGATATTGAGTTGAAACTTAACTACTTTATCCATTTAGATAAAATGGATAAAATAATTTATACTTTATAAAATTTCATTTCTGTTTTCTCAATTCTGAGTAAACGTCATCCTTAAGTCAAATTCTAACTGACTTTTTCATGCTTTTTATAAGTCCATTATTTACAAACTGCATTGGTGACGGATTTTGCCGTTATTTCTTAATTATGACAAGGAGCACACGTCGGATGTGACCCGCAGGCAGGGGAAGCGCACTCCTCCATGGCGCCTGATTCCACCTCTGATGTTTTGGAGATCCGTGTTTGCTCTGCTCCTATTTAGTATTTTAAATGGACTTTGAGCTAGAATAATGTTCATTATTTCCACGTATTTCACATATTTTGAAATTCTGGATGCCCGAATTAAATGTTTGCTACCTTACTTGTTAGTCCTGAGTGGGAAAATCTAATTAATGGCGTCTGTTCAAATCAGGTTTTACGCCTATGATGACTTAGGTCAACTTGGTAATCATTTGTAAATGCAGTATATTTTTGAAATTCTTCTTGTCAACAAAGTGTCTACAAGTCGTGTATTAAACATGCTCAAATGGACGCATTGTAATATGTATCTGATTAATAGAGATGGCTCATGATGAGTGTGATATAGGTCGGCATGGAATGCTTTCTACTCTTTAAAACAGCCGATTCCTATGGTTTTAGAACTGTGTGGTTTTTGCACTGTTCACAAATTTAATTATTCAATGGATTTACTACCTTTTTGTTATCTTTATCATTTTCATTAAACATTGATATTTTATTGGCGATAAATCATTTTAAATATTATGGCTAGTGGCAATCTAATGTCCTTTGTCTTCACAAATTTTCGGAAATCTTTTTTTCAGATGAGACCTAATATTTAAGAAGGAGCTCCATACATATAAATTTGAATTGTTCTTGAAAATAACATTCATACAGGGTTGTTGCACATCAAAAGAAGACATATTTAATTTCAAGTGGGACTCAGAATGCCAAATTAAAAAACTTTCTAGATCCGAAAAAAAGATACTACAGAGATGTAAAATATTTCCGTGAACTATTTTAGTCATAGAGTGATGCAGCGTGGGAAGTTAATCGACCATGTGATAAACAAAGCATCCGGGTCCTCTCATTCCCAGAATAAATGAAAATGAAGTGTTATTTAGGATTAGTGTTTATAGCAAACACTGGTTTGTATTCATTTTGTTTGCTGTATTTGTTTATATTTTACTCACTTTTTATTTTTTTTTTAAACCATAACCATTTTTTGAAATATTTTTCTTTCTCATTATAAACAAAAACTTCCGGTTTGAAAGCTAACATACAATCTTTATGAACGTGTTCACATTTCAAAAAGAAATAATAAAATAAAATTGAGTTTAAAAATAATTTAAAAGAAAAAAGGGATAACCTAATATTTCCTCTTACATTACAAAAGTATAATAAATGAATTTTAACTCTTACTACATGGAGATAGTCAATTCTTTTCAACCTAGCATCATCTAATGCCAAAAATTAGCACTAATAGTAATTGTAACACCTGCTTAGATCTTTATTTTTAAAATGAAATAAGTTTATTCCCATCAACTGGATAACACCATTCATAAATATAAAAATACTGCTATATTATATCAATTAATACCTTATATTCATTAATTAATGATTCATCAGTTGACGATTATTTTCACAAGTATTTTTAGGGGAGGTATATCACATTTGAAAGTTCATAAATGCAAGTTCAGCTACTGTTCATACACATGTATATATTTTAAAGCAACGATGCTTCATTGGGAAAAAAAACCTTCGTGAAAAAAATTCATCTCATTATAAAGTTTTTAAAAAATCATTACTTCATTTATTTTTTAACTACAACTATTTATTTAGTCCCTTCAAATACAAGAGTAATAGCAAAATGTTTTAAAATTTATTTCATTTTATGCATACAAACTTAAGTTGTCTGACCTAAGATATTGCCGTGCATAGGGACAAGGATTTCTAGAAGATGAAAGAACTCCGAAAAGGAATTAAAATACGTCCTATGATAATAAACTAGAACATAAATGCAATTTTTTGTACTACAAATATACAAATAACAAACGCAATAGAATTATTGTATAATACCATAGCCTTTGAGACATGGATATTTATAACTCATGTTGGTATGTAATGCAACAATAAAAAATAGACTTTAAAGTTTGAACATATTAGAAACCAATTTTCCTATAATATAGTCGGTTTTAATTTGCTTATTTTGAGAGATGAAAAAAACACATGGAAACAGGAAGAAAACGAACCCAGGATTGGTTTGACCCTTATTGTGTACTTAATAACAAAATAAGAAAAACTGTTCTAAAAATGACATCTTACTGCAATTTTGTTTTGAGATATCGTGTTACAATTCATCTTTAGTCCAAAATCAGTAGACTTAAATTGTTCAAAATACAACATAGTTGTTTTCCTTATAATCATATAAAACAAACAATCAGGAAAATAATTATTGTCGTCGAGTGATATTGAATATTGCTGAAGAAAAGAAAATAAAGCAGTTTTTCTTGCATATATGCTTTAAATTTTGCGTTCGCGTACATGTCCGAATTAATAAAAATGTTTTCCTTATAACATTCCAGTAACTAATTTGATTTTCAGTACATGCTTTGATCTCAATAGAAGCCCAAAACACTACCATAGAATATGGAAGAACAAATATAGACATAAACTGTGTAGTTAATGGAACGTCCTTAACCAAGGTTATCGCTATCCAGATGAGGCGATCCGACACAGACATAGTAGCCGTTGTAATGGATAAAGGTATCTCATGGCAGGACAGAGAACTACAGAACCGGGACGGCGTATCCGTTAATGCTTCCATAAGTGACGTCACGACATCTTATTTTCGATTGGTGATATTGAAATCAGCCGTCAGATATCCTTCTGATATGGGTAGTTATCGGTGCTCTCTAAGTGCACATGGTGATAAATTTTCCTTGAAGGCCAGCAAATCTCCAAGTGTGTTCCTGAATATTACAGGTGAAGATTATTTTCTAGCATTTTTAATATATAAAAATAAACGTATACTAGTATTACGATTTTGTTTTATCAAGGTAATTTGATAGCTATGTTTGATTAATGATGATATGCAGGAATGTGTATGCGGTGTCTCTTACGGTATCATATGACTTCATTTTTTATACATGTTTTAAATGCCATGTCGTAATGGTTTTAATTACAGATATGAGTCTAAATACTTGTTTTCGATGTCACTGTAAAACCACGTAAAACAGAAACTGATAAATGCCTCAAAGTTGATATGTAAGCAATATTCGGGTTAGGGCAAGCAAGGTTTATTTATCATCGCACGAATATCGCTTATTTTTCAAGACAGTGAACATACATTTAAAATTCATATTCTGCCACAGTAAATTAAACATTACTTTACTTTTAATTCGTTAAGGCTTTGAAAAGACTGTCACAAATGGTAAGCATTCTAAATTAATAATAAATGTTTAATGGACTTTGTTGTAATATTTTATGAACTTTTGTTCTTGAATACTGTTCGTTATCTCCTTGTGTTTAATTAAACTAGCATTTTAATAATATAAATTCGGGCTAGGGCAAGCAAGGTTTATTTATCATCGCATGAATATCGTTTATTTTTCAAGACAGTGTACATACATTCTAAATTCATACTCTGCCACAGTAAATGAAACATTACTTTTAATTTATTTCAAAGGCTTTGAAGAGACTGTCACAAATGGTAAGCATTCTAAATTAATAATAATTGTTTAATGGACTTTGTTGTAATATTTTATGAACTTTTGTTCTTGAATACTGTTCGTTATCTCCTTATGTTTAATTAAACTAGCATTTTAATAATATAATTTTTCTAAGACTTCTTAAGGGGGCCGACTATAGTTTTATTGTGTGAAAACTACAATAGGGAAACTCTTCATTTTTATACCATATATAACTTACATAAACTTCAGTGTACATGCAAAGTTTGGGGAAAATCTATCGTTCAGGTATTTTGAGGGACCGTCTCAAAATACAGGTACATTTACTATAGGATTATGTAGGAAAATGCTAATTTTTAACACTTTAAAGCAAATTATGCAAATAATACAATAGACATACTGTTCAAACTATAATATTTGATGAGTAATACTACATTATACAATATATGTAAGAAACACAAAATTCTACCGTCTTGTTACCAGAGGGGGAAACTCAAAATGCAAAAAATTAGCAAATTTTACTATTTCTATAAAGTATTACAAAATATGACGTACACAATGGATTCACGTGAAAACATAATAAAAATATTGGAGATATTCTCTAATTTCTATGTTTTAAATTTCAAGCGCGTATGTTTATTACTTTTTCTTTAAAAATATTTTTATTACACCTTCGTCAAAAACACACTGCAACGACGTCAACCTACATGTACCTATCAATTGCAAAATCGGTTAAAAAGTCAGTTATATCAAATTGTAATTACATTTTTATACCTATCATTTCTTAATTTTGTTTAATTTTAATAATTAAGCGAAAAAAGTTGCATTAAAACAGTAAATACGCTTCATTTTACTATGATGTGCGAAATATTGCGCAGTGGAAACTATAGTCGGCCCCCTTAATTGATTAAATAAGGTTTATTTGATTTAGTAAAAAAAATCTTTATAACCTCAAATTATACACACTGAGTATCAATTTTAAAGTTCTGCTTCCTTTTCTTTCATACGGATGTGTTACAACTTGTATCGTTTTATTTCCTTATACCCTTGTTTTGGGATTCATAATTCTAACATAACATCACATTATATCCTGGTCTCCTAATCCTACCTCTGAAATTTCCGGAGGACTTTCAAAGAAAAACTGTTATATACATCTTTCATTGTGTAAAAATGTTCATTGACAATATAACGTGATCGATTTCTAGCTCGTGTTTCAAATATAATAAATTGAAAAGTTGATGTTTCTGAAAGAGATTTTTTTGTTTTATAAAATTGTTCTTCAATATTTTGCATCGTTTTAAAAAATGTTATGCATAAAGAGATTCTGAATGTGTGTCATTGCAGTGTCAAACCAAATTTTTGAGACCAACTAAACTTCAGATATGATTAGTGCATATTTTTATTATACTAGTAAATGGTAAATCTGGGATATTAATTATAGAATAGTTGTTATAGCGAGCTGCAGCGAGCTGTCGCGAAGCTAGCGCTCGTAACTGCGGGCCTTTAACGAAACGCCTAGATTAAATGGATCGAATAGAAAATTCGGACTACGCACATTCATTCGATAGATTTTTTGACCAGTTCCTCCAATTTTGACCCACAATGCTCGGATCGCTTTGTACGCAACATATAGCAACGTTCTCGCGAGAATAAGAACAAAAAAGTTAAACGAATAATAAACTTGCCTTGATTTAATGAAATTGTTGCAGAAAAATAGTCAGCAAAACGGTTCTTCATATAAATTAGCCCTGTTTAGGCCTGATTTTGATAATGCAACTTGTATACAACGTCATATGACGTCAGTTTATAAACTTATTTATTTCTTAAAGAAAATAAATTGAAAAGTTGATGTTTTTGAAAGAGATTTTTTTTGTTTTATAAAATTGTTCTTCAATAGTTTGCATCGTTTTAAAAAATTGTTTGCATAAAGAGATTCTGAATGTCATTGCGTGTCAAACCAAATGGGAGTCCACTAAACTTGCAGATACGATCGGTGCATATCGCTATATACTAGTAGGTAAGGGATATTAATCATAGAAAAGTTGTTATACAAGTTTGTTTTAATTTTACTATTAATTTCATTTTTCTAGATAAATATCCAAATTTTAAAAATGCTTTATTTGTGGTATCTTTTATCCCAAGTTCACTGGGATATATTGAGTCGACATATGAATATAAGAAACTACTTTCAAAGAAACATAACACAAAGTTTCTTATGTCCCATGGAGAAGAGTAACACTGGTGTTTTTTCAATATTTTTGTCAATTAAAATATTATCAAAAAATCTTAATTGTGTGTAATATAAATTATCCCCCAAAAACTTGGCAGTTAGAAATCTTCAAACATTTCCCAAACTTTTTAAATACTCAGTTTTCACATTTTTTTTCACTAATCATTGAGTTATTCATTAAATAACTAAAAAACATTTCTTTGAATAGAGAGGTAGCTTTTTAAATAAAGACATATAATTTTTGCAAGGAGAAATTTGTTCATGTTATTTTTGTTAATCGATAATATATTGTTGATATATCTATATGTCGAACTGAAGGCCACACCGTGTTTTCTTTTTTCATGTGTACTTTTTTGGATAAATTCTTTTTTAATGAAAACAACATTGGAGCGCATTTTTGTCATGGAAATTTCGAAAGGTTGTTGGACGATATGTTTGGAAAGAACTCTATACATTCTTCCAATATTTTCATTTTTATTGAAAAGACAGTTTAATGTATCTATGACGTCATAAAGCTTGGGGTTTCGTTTTTGTGGGGTATGGTTGTATAAAGTGTTGAAGAGGCATACATTCTAAAGTTTTGAATTAAATAAATTTTCTGATTTCAAATTTTCTCTGAGTGCCTTGGTGTGTTAATGTATCAAAATCTGATTAACACCACGTCTAAATTACACTGTTATAAAGTACTCCTAAATTCAAAGGTTCTCTTTCCCTGTTGCAAATATTTAAGTCAGAATTAAAGAAAAAAAGCTTGGTAGAACGATACATTAAATTTTTTTCTAACCATGGCAACAATATTCCTCAAATCAAAAAAAGTACGATATCTAGAACTTTGTATCTTAAGGTATGCTGTTGAATAAACTTAACTGTCTGTAGCCTGTCTCGGTTTCAAAATTGATCGTATTATGAACGTGGTCTCAAGTTTCAAATCACTAGTGGAGAATGGCACCTTAGGCGATTTTGGAATTTGATTTCGATGAAATTCTTATGCTTTGAACCAGACATTTGAAGATAAAAGTAGAGACACAAATGAAAAGCTTTAATTTGTGGTGTAAGAATTTAGAGATCTACAGAGAGATGGACGGGTATGGATATATATAGCAACATATAAAACATGTACATGTAATAAATTGACCAAATCACGTACAATCAAATATATACTATAGTACATTGAAGTTATCAGGATGATTTTATAAAACATCATTTCAATATGATGATGTAAATTCAAAATACAATTATGGCATTTGACACATATATTATTATTATCTGTATATGAACAAACCGATATGAAATATTTCTAATATAATTACAAAAGACCTAAACAAAGAGAATATAAATATAAAATGAAACATATAAACATAACAAAATTTCACAAACACATAGATGAAAATTTACACTTGTTAAAAAAAACCACAGTCTCTTTTTACATTAACGTAACTGTACTGTACAAATTGATTTGCATTCTCTCACCTGATTATTTGCAATTTTTGAATATCTCATTTTTTTTTCAATGTTGTTTTTTCCAAAATAACACTGGCAATGTTTAAATTCAAATTCATATATAACATTTTTGATAATTATTTCTTATGGAATAACCATAATACTACTCCATCCATTCCTCCACTCGAATCCTTGTCGCTGTACATCCAATAACAGTCCAGATTAGCGAAATAAAGCTCCCAAAATAAAATTTGGCACCTGGATATGAGGAACAAAAAGCATGATTGTATGGCCAATAAATATATACACACATAAGCTTTGGTGACATTAATAAAACATAAATATTTTCTTTACTCTATTGAGGCATTTTCAAAACTTTTCATTCAATATTTCTTTTTCTACTTAACATTAATTTTGACTAATAGTACATTGACCAAGCTGCATAGAGCTGCATAAGAAAAAACATAATATTTGCGTAAAATGTTCTACTTTGTACAATACAGTTTTTGTCAGGAAATAAGGAGACAGACACTCGAATGTATATGATTGAATGAAAGCTAAATCCATCCTCAGATAAAGCAAACGATGTATGTGGAGTCTTAAGATTTTAATGTTAAAGCATGTAGATCCCTTATAAGTGCAGTATTTATCGAGATCAAAAGGATTTTCAGTAATTTTCCTAAAAAGTATGATAAGTAACCATTAAAGCAGCCGTAGGAGAACTTATATAATGTCATGAATATTTAGTTTATGTTACAAATATTGTATCAAATATATATCACAATCATATATATAATTCTATGATGTTCATGACTAGTGACGTGTAATGGAAGCGGGTATTGTTATGGAAGTAGGTAGTACACTCATGTCATCACATAAGTATTGAGTAAATGTCACATATATTTCATTGATGTATTTTAAACATGTGGTACACTTACTTTAAATATATCATTATATCAAGCTTTAAATAAATAAGCCGCCATTAACTCTGTATCATGCAAAGCATCAGAAATGTATATATTCTTATTTTGCGATATTAATTCAGACATTGGAACCATTACTGAGAATACCTTTGAAGGTGAATTACCTGATGCACTGGGATCTTGGGTCCCAGACGGTGAATCTGAAATGGGTTTCATTACAAAGAGATTTTTTCATGGATCACTGACTACCAAAAATCTCTGGTGTATTTGCTATTTCTACTGTTGGTGTGGCTAGATGAATACAACTGACAGCAGTATTTGATAATTTTAATGATCATTTGGCATGTCCGTAGTTTATAACCGTGAGACTGCTAATCGAACGATAGTTTATTACCATGAGGTTGACATATCACTCAAGGTGAATCTATAAAGACCTTTATAACCACGGCAGTCCAGACATGCACTAAATAATCATTTAGATAATTCTGTCGTTCGATAAATTGAAACTGTCTGCAAATACTTATACGTTATGACAGTCAATTGCTATGCCAGGGGATAAATGCACCATCTGTCATCATCTAGCTAAGGGTAAAATGACTCTTTTTCGGTCTTTGGACATGTCGTGTTAGACGTTTACACATCAACGATTATCTACTGAAATTAACCCATTACAGTTCTAAGAATAATTTTTTTTTCTCCACGAAGAATTCTATACATAAAATTACCCATAAATTATAGCAAGTACATTCTGTGCAGAGCAATACAGTGGTTAGAACGTTACTAAAGAGCAAACAAGTTTTGGTCAAGCTTGATAAGAAAGCTTAATTACATATCAATAGAGATTGAAGATATTCTTTCAAGCTTTTTGTGTTTAATTGGTATACTTTAGCTTAATAATATTTAATATCGAATCAAATTTAAATAACATCTATTTGATATCCATAGTTAAACAATTATGATGGCAAAAAATAATGGCATTTGACCAAGTGTGAAAGGATTCGATTTTAAACAGAGATTCAAATTTTTAACCAAAAAATTTGCAAAAATGTGTCATTTTCTAATTTCTATTGTTTTTATTCATTATAGCTCACCATAAGATGTGGATTCCGGCAAAAAATTTAAGCCTATCTAATGTTCGTTTAAGGAATCAATTATTATTTATTGCTTTCTATGTTAGTAGAGCGTTGGGTTTCTATTTTCCATAAGGTTCAGTGTTTTACCTGAGGATGGGGAGAAGCTAGAAGCAGGCGTGTCTGTAATAATAAATTGTGAAATTACTTACATGTTGTAAAGACCAAGACAACCTCAATTTTGTATGTCCGGTATTATAGTGTCTTTCTATGTCAAAAAGCAGATATATTATATAAAAGGTTTTCTAATCTCATACCTGAATTTGTGGAAGTTGATAAAAGGACTGTTGTCGTTTCTGGGACTATCAAAAGAAGTGGGAAAATATAGACTGAGATAAACTTTTGATAAATGAAAAAGTGTATAAAAAATTATATAATCCAAAATTTCATTTATTGTATGCAGGACAAAGGTAGAAAATTCTGTGTAGGATTTAAAAATGAGAGAATATTTTTATATATGTGTAGAGGTATGCAAACTTTAACATACGATGTTTTCTCGAAATTAAAGGATGGATATCTTAAAATATTTAAGTTTGATCATAATGTACCAATTATTTTACAACTATTATCAATTAATTTACAAAGTAGCGGCGACGTTACAGATAAAAGAGTAATCTTACCCGTCGTGGTATCTACATAACCTGCAAAGCCAAAAAAATATCCATGCGTGTATATTGGGTAAATAATCCAGAGTTTTAATTTTACTAATCTAAAGCTTGTTTGATATTACACTTGCAAAAAACGAATACCTGTGATATTAACAAAAATTGTTCCAGATTCCACAGTAACACTCGCAGACGTTAAATCTAATCCTGACATAGTGCATTGGTAGTCACCCTCATCGTCAGGATAAACTACCGAGGACATCGGAATGTTCAGGTGAAGGCGAGCGCTCATGACGTCATTGACGGATCCATTGGCTATGACACCATTCCTGTTTTGTAGTGAAGTATCTTGCCAAGAGACTCCGGTTGCAGTTGCAGAGACAACTGGGTTACCAGAACGCCTTAACTGGATGGAGAACACTGAGTTTAGGGAAGATCCGTTTGTAACTTTGCACAAGACATCTATGTCTTCTAACCCATACTCTATGGTAGCATTGGTAATTTCAATTTCAAAAATTTGAGCAGAGACTGAAAGATATAGAGAAAAAAATCTTTTGACATCGACTTAAAGATTTGTCAATACTGTCTTTATATCTTTATTTTCTTTATATATATGTACACTTGCAATTAAGTGTCAATTCATGATTTCCATTTGATTTATTATTATTTCCATTTATAATAAGTAATATACAGTCCTTATACTGTATATATATGTATAGTCCTTGTGATATTGATGGAGTTTCTTATCAATATGCGTGTGGTAAAGTAATCAATTCATATTACTAAAATGATGATAATCACAAGAAAGTCGCTCTAATTAAACAAATGTAGAAAAGAAAAATAATAAGATTAGTATCTTACCTGTATTAATCAATACAACTATTCCTAATAAAAATATCATATCTTCTCCTTTCTTTGCTCACTATCAAAAACACATACACGATCAGGATGAAGAAAACCACGTGACTGAGGATGTTATTGAAAGTGCTATCATTTTAATAGTACTGGTGTTTGTATTTACAGATTCACTATGGCAATATTTACGACTTAATGACAGAAATACCATGACATGTCATAAACGCATTATTTACTCCCAACATCTTGAAACAAGGGAGGAATCACACGTAAATGACCAGGCAATGACAGTATACAAGAGGACAATAAATAATTAAAGGACTGGGGTCTTACTTTTCTTATAGAATCGGTTGATAATATAAATTAAAATATTTACTAATTGATAAGAAAATTATGCTTTCTTTTTGTATATTAAAAATTTATATTTATGTCTGTTGATATAAGAAGATAATTCGGTTTACATACAAGAAAATTATTATGGCTAGACGCTGTTAATTATTTGATTGGAGACAGAAGAAATCAAAAAATGTTGCAAATGTAAAACAAGCAAAGACATCAATCTGGCCTTATTATACAATAAACATAACTACATTGTACTTTCTTTTTAAATGAGAATATGCATATGAAGTGTACAATATGTAAAAGGATATTTTAAAAATATATATTGACGTATTTACTATAAGGACAAAGCTTTTAGTCGAATGTTTTCCTTATTTTTTAAACTTTTTTAAAAACACATATACATTGTATAGGTGTATCAATTTTGCTCTGACGGGCTTTTGTTGAAAAATTTACATGTTAAATATGTAGTAGTAAATTTGGCAACTGCTCTATTGATCTAATATAATAGCCATAATATCTACTTAAAAGAAGGAGTAGTACATTGTACATGTAAGAATAGTAATAGATACATTTCAGAAGATATGTAGTAGAGTTCATTTCATTGCTTAGTAAATCAAATACTTAGTATGTGTACGATGTAACAAATTGCTCTTCAAGAAAAGATTTATTTAAACTTAAACAGATTTTATAATGATATATAAAGCAATTTTCATACAGATAACATTCTGTTGATATAGTTGTACAGGACAACTTTAACAATTATTTTAAAATAAATTTAAAATAAAAAACAACAATGAATAAAACAAACATGATAAAATATGATAATCTGTTATGCACTTGATTTAAATTAATAAAAAATGGTTAATATAAACAAACAAATCATGGGTACAACAATATGATATATTATTATGGACTCACAAGTAATATGCAACCTGTTGCTGTAAAAACAAAGTACCACTTAAAAAAAATTGATAACGATATAAACAATAATACAATGTATATATGGTGTTTTGTTTTTTGTTTTTTTGTTTTTTTTTTTTAAAATCATAACATGCAGATAGGTACTCAAAATAAACTCACACAGTGCGGTATTTTTTTTTAAATAATTGAATAGAATGTTCTTCAAATTGAGGTTCAATATTGATAAAATTTTCTGGGTTGAAGACCCATGGGTACCCATAACTCTTTTATACAATCTTGCAACTATATACAACTGTTTCAACAAAATTTAATTAAAATATGAGAATTTATAGGACCTTTTTTCCTTAAATATTATTTATGAAATATGAAGTTAGAACACAGTACAATGAAGTATAGAAGTACATATATATTAAAACAATATAAAGAACAAACACGGACTTAATACATAAGAGGTGAATCAGGTGCCAATGAGGAGAAAACTTCCCCTGTTGATTGGTCACAACCGCTGGATACTTCTTGTCGTGATCGGAAAAATCCATTAGACAATTCAGTATTAAAATCATGGACTAAAGAAATTTATGGAGATTATAAATATAATTCAGTTTAAAAGCCCAATAAACAAAACTAATATAACAACCTGTATGAAAAATGTCGCTCAACATTTGGCTTCATGTTTATAGTATCGACGATACAATTTACGGGTGTAACATATTGCAACTTTAATGTTACAATACTTTCCTATTGGAGAACCGGTAAATTTTTGGGAAAAAAGAAACAAAATTTGTATCGAGTATACAATATAATACAGGGTATTACCAGAGTATTCCTCAGCTTTATCGTATCAATTCAATTTATTTTACCAGAGTATTGTTAAACTTTATCATTTGACTTTATTGGCTGAGGTCGACGTGGATATTTCAAGGTCACATGTGATAATACCACTTCTCGACGACTGTTTCGCATATTCTGCTGCTTATCCAAATCTCTACGACCTTGACCTCTCTGAGAGGATTGAGGATCAATGCCATTTTCCATGTGGTGCCTTAGTAAAGATCGGATATCAGGGAATTTATGTTCTGGAAAGAAGTAGTGCCAGTCTTGTCCGCTGATGTGTCGCTCTGAAAAAACTGCATAATGGACCAGCTTCCTCATGTGACTGCAAGTAAAAGTAATGTCTAGATAAAAAGCAGTAAAAATAAATAAAATGTATGAGATGTTCATATGCTATGGTGTTTTTAAATAAATTCGTTGAAACGACAGAGTTACTAGTTAATAATTCTACTGTTCATATTTTCATGAGAAGCACAAAAAGGCCTAGGCTACGCATACTCAGTAGTTGGGACATGCACAAGATTCCTTTATCTATCTTTGTACAGATATATTGAAATTTTAAAATACATTCTACATGTAGCTTTTGGTAATCATAATCAATTTGGTTGTTCGGAATATTGAAAATATATCACACGGGTTTTGAAGAATCTCCTTAAAAGAAAGGGAATTCTAATCTGGATTTAGGCTTGCAGAATTCAATCCAATTTCCTCAAAAATGCAATCGTATTTAATGATCATAACATGCAAAGACGATGGTGTTACCTGCGGATTGAACCGGTATACAAAGATCATGTCATGTAGCCAATTCTTCAGTAGCTTCTGTTTTTTTTAGTTCAATACAAAACACTGTTCCTCATTCTCTTAAAAATGTTATATTTACATTACATTTTTTATCCATTCTGAGAGTTTATGTTCTTCGTCATACTTTGCTTATATCTAGTATAATCTTCAACAAAATCACCCATGCTTCTCAAGTGGCAAGGTCCTTAATTTTTAGACAAGTAGATTTCAGATAATTTAACATTATATTATGATGGAGGGAAGTTAAAAAAGTTAAATTATTTCCCCAAAAATAATATATCTAATCAATAAACATGCAAACCTCAAAATAATTGCAGTATCATGAAATGCAAATATATATAAAATGTTTTATAGAAAAAATATTTCATTATCAAAATATATATATATATATATATATATATATATATATATATATATATATATATATATATATATATATATATATCAAATCACATAAATAGCATAGATATATTTTATTAGGTGAAACTTACTGGACAATCTACGGTATTTTATTTTTGAGTCAGACGTTACAGTGTATTTGTATCGTAATTATGTCATTTCTGGTGCCCCATATTTTTGTTTAAATACTAGTATACTACAGTTTTTGTTTCATATGAGATCGTTGAATGATTTTTACATCATTTATTTTTATTATCTGATGATTTTGATTTTGCTTTTTCACAACTGATATTTCATGGAACAAAATTGACGATAATTTTACCTGACAGTTACGACGAGACGATGAGCCTCCCTCATGTACCAAATGACATAGTGGCCATCTTCTTTGCAGTAATGGGACATTGACTTCTCAACCTACGAGATCAAGGAAAATCCTGGGTCTCAATGCTCAACAAACTTTCCCTTATAAATTTATTACAAAAAAGTAGACGCCATAGCACTGACCTCACTTTAATCATTACTCAAAATACAAGAGAATTAATCAAAATAAAGAGCTTGTGTGAGCAAGAATAAACTTTCTTGCTTTATAAATTACCATATTTTCTGTTTCCTCTGGATCCCAACCAGGAAAATTTCTCATTATTTCACAGATTTCTTGGAAAGATATTTCTATTTTACGCTTTTTAGGAAGTTTGGGGATTTCAGCAGAGGAAGACGGCATGGAAAGATTAAACTTGCCCTTAAGTTCAGCAACTAAAATGTCTGGGGGCTCGGAAACAGATCTCTGTCTTTTAGTCTGTGTCGCCGATGTCAAGGATTCCTGATCTACATTTCTGGAGAATCCTTGAATGTCATCATCAACAGTTGTGCCTGAAGGCAGCAGTGTGTAAGAGTTGGCCTTTGGTTTGGAGATAGAAAAGTTTTCTGCTGCATTTTCTCTTGTATGTAACTGTTTCACCGATGTCCTTTCTGAGTCTTCCACAAGAGAACACAGTGACAAACTGTTTTCAGTATTGAGAGTCATTAGGGGAAAATGGTTTGTGGAAACTTGAGAGGTGGGTGAAATGTTCGGTCCCATTATGCTGAACTGTTGATAGGTCATTCCAGGGACACTTGTTAGAGGACGTAATGGTTCGGTGGAGGGGATAGGATAAGAAGAACAGTTACAAGACAGACAGTGTACCCCGGTATTGACAGTGGAAGACGTCTCACTGGCTAGTCTCTACAACATCACAACAAATTAAAGGTTTTACTATTAATCACATTTTAAAAAAATCTTCTTTGCTTCAAATATAAGCTCTGTAAAAGAGGAATTACTTATTAAACATTCATACCCGACTGACTGTCCTCATTTTACCACAGTAGACACAATCTTCTGTGATATAAATAGTCTTCCTTATCATATCCCCACAGGTCATGGTATCCCCACCACAGCTCTTTGGTATCACCTCCTCTTGCTCTCCCTCTTTCAAGCAACAAGGAATTGTATTAGTGTATTCACTGGGTATGTATTTTACTTGTTGCAATTGAGTCATGGAGATGGTGTTTTCGATGCTGCTATCAGAGCTAGAAGTTTCTCCTGCTCTTATATTCAAAGGTAAAAGATCTGGTCGTCTTGAGGCCTTTTTTCTCAAGGTAATCTGTTTTCCCTGAAAATATTTTTTAAAAGTTCAAATTTATTCCTCCTCTCCAATCCCTCTCTTGTAAAAATATTAAAGTTCCATTTTCTTTTTAGAAGAGGGGAGACTGTTTTTTTTTTATAAAAGTAATAGATATTGCTAGAGTAAGGTAGTATTTCATATTGGACACTACCTTGAACCCCTTAGCTTTTGACAGTAGGGGTGTGTCCACCAATTCATATTCGCTATCGTCCGAGTCCCCACCCAGTAAATTCTGAAGACTCTCTTGTATTGTGGTGTCACATTTAGTACGGACCTTCAGCAAGCGCGTGGGTGAAGATGTATTCCAGTCATCAATGATTCGCAAATAGAGATGCATAAACATTGTTTCTGTAAAGAGAGGTTAATATTGAAGTTATACTTGACAATTCTTTTAACATCTTGCAATTGTAATTTCTTTTTCTAGCTATTGAATTTGTATTAATCTAATTTCCAGATAACTTATTTAAGTGTAAACTTATTTTCAAACATGTCTGACAGTCATTACAATGTTAAACACAAGTCAAATGTCCTTCCTTTGAAACCCCCTTCAATATGTCTTGTTTAAAACTGAAAGTGCAAGCTTTGGACTGAAAAGTGCAGTATGTCTTGCTGCTTTACAGGTCCTTAGAGGCCGGTGTATGTAATGTGTTATTGTTCTTGCTTTCTATCTTTCTGTTCAGTCTTACAGGTCCTAGCTGTGTATACTGATTATGTTATGTGTTATTATTCTTGTCTTCAATTTTTCTGTTCAGTCTTACAGGCCTTGGCTGTGTATGCTTTGTGTTATTGTTCTTGCCTTCAATCTTTCTGTCCAGTCTTTCAGACCCTAGCTGTGTATGTTATGTGTTATTGTTCTTGCCTTCAATCTTTCTGTCCAGTCTTTCAGACCCTAGCTGTGTATGCTATGTGTTATTGTTCTTGCCTTCTATCTTTCTGTCCAGTCTTTCAAACCCTAGCTGTGTATGTTATGTATTATTGTTCTTGCCTTCTATCTTTCTGTCCAGTCTTTCAAACCCTACCTGTGTATGCTTACAATGCTATGTGTTATTGTTCTTGCCTTCAATCTTTCTGTCCAGTCTTTCAGACCCTAGCTGTGTATGCTATGTGTTATTGTTCTTGCCTTCTATCTTTCTGTCCAGTCTTTCAGACCCTAGCTGTGTATGTTATGTGTTATTGTTCTTGCCTTCTATCTTTCTGTCCAGTCCTTCAGGCCCTAGCTGTGTATGTTATGTGTTATTGTTCTTGCCTTCTATCTTTCTGTCCAGTCTTTCAGACCCTACCTGTGTATGCTTACAATGATATGTGTTATTGTTCTTGCCTTCTATCTTTCTATCCAGCAGGGTGACACAGTCGTATCGGCCACAGCTCCATAGTGTATCTCTCAGTATAAAGAGGGAGCTGCAGTCTTCGTGTCCACGCCACTCCATTAACATCAGAAAACCCGCGGACTCACGCTGGATGTTTGATTGTACCTCAAAATTTTCAATATGTTGTTGGGAAAACCCAAGTAGTTCTGCAACATGTATCCAATCACCGGTACGTATTCCATAGTTCAAAGGTTGTAATTTATTGCCAAGTTCATGAAAAACCTTAAACAAGATGGGAATATATTGATTTAATAGATGACTTAAATTACATTCTGCTTATGGTCATTTCAATAAAATGTGTTAATTAAATTTATTTACCTAAAATGTTAATTTCAAACTAGGTCCGTGGGAGAGGAGTCTAAGTTTTGGAACTTGCGTCCAATCCCTTTGACATATTGTCAACAAAATATGTTTAAAACAAACAAAAATATGCATCCCTTACTTTTTAATTTATTATTCCCACTTATAAATTTGATCACCTGTTGTTGCCTCAAGGTTCATTTTTTGATCAAAGTTGTATTTAAACTATCTAAAAATCGATTTTGCTTTTTGATACATTTCTGTATACAGACTTCTGCCATTTTCCCCAGCATTATTCATTGAAAGAAGATCCCTTATATCTCTTATCCTTTTCAAACAATATTTGTATTACTAAATGCTGGTTTATTTGAAAAATTAACTTTGAGTATTTGTAATCTGTTTTCAACTTTCCAGATCTTTCCCTATGGCATATACATGGTATTAAAGGGTTGCTTCCTTGTTCGAAATATGTCTACTAGAACTACCTATATAAAATTAAGGTCAGTGTTAAAGTTTTATTTGAAGTTCAATTTACCATTTACAAAGTCTGAAAGACCTCCTGGCATGAAAAGAATTTTGAAAATACTTAAAATTATTAATAAAGGAATTGTACTAAGAGGGGAATTCCCATTTCCTTTTAAAAAAATATATGAATGCATTCTTTATTAATGCAATTCAATGTAACTGTTATTCATATAACAGTTATGTCTGGGGGGAAAATCGTTATAAAGAGTCCAATGCATTTATTACATACATAGCATGTTTAAAACTTTCTGAAATTATTAATAAAGGAAATTTACTAAGAGAGGAATTCCCATTCCCATTTCCTTTTGCAGATTTATGAATGCATTCTTTATGAATTATTCATTCATATAACATTATGTATGAAAAAAATTATAAAGTACATTTAACACATACTTAGCATGTTGGGTCTTTTTTAAAATGCAGTTATAAATCGTATATTTAATTTAAGTAAAATTATATCTGTTTATTTATTTTTATTCGTGTATTCATTTAACTTCCATATGCTACAGAAATTATATATAATACCAAAATAATTTTAAATGTTAGCATTTTTAATAAACCACTGGAATTTAGTTTACTGATGCTCATGTTCAATCATGTTTAAAGAAATGTCAATTTTAGAAATATTTCGAGTTTACTTCTATTTAATGATCCATTTACCAGGTTCCGGTTTCTATTGTTACATGGGATGCACATTTGGTACACTTTTTTAAGTTTCTAATTTTGTCATGCTCTATATGGTATCTGTCAATTTAAACTGAAAGCATGTGTCAAATCATCCTCACAATGTCAAGGGTTTGTGATTTCTCGAACTCCACACAAACTCTTGAGGGAATATTTTAATATTGTGTGGAGTTCATTCTCACCAAGACTGTTGTAATAATTGTACTGGTAACTCTTTAGCAGGCTTTGATACATGTAGTAACTGATATTATACTTACATGTAAAATTAACTCTTTACATATTACTGTTTAGCAGGCTTTGTCACTGCATAATATAATTCTTATTTGCTGGTTACTCTTTAGCAGGCTTTGATACATGTAGTAACTGTTATTATACTAGTACTTACATGTAAAGTTAAATCTTTAGCAGGCTTTGTCACTGCATAGTATAATTCAAATTTGCTAGTAACTCTTTAGCAGGCTTTGCCACTGCATAATATAATTCTTGTAAAACTCTTTAGCAGGCTTTGTCACCGCATAGTATAATTCTTATTTACGGGTAAAACTCTTTAGCAGGCTTTGACAAGCATAATATAATTCTTATTTACGGGTAAAACTCTTTAGCAGGCTTTGACACAGCAAAATATAATTCTTATTTACGGGTAAAACTCTTTAGCAGGCTTTGACACTGCATAATTTAATTCTTATTTACGGGTAAAACTCTTTTGAGCAGGCTTTGACACAGCATGATATAATTCTTATTTACGGGTAAAACTCTTTAGCAGGCTTTGACACAGCATAATATAATTCTTATTTACGGGTAAAACTCTTTAGCAGGCTTTGACACTGCATAATTTAATTCTTATTTACGGGTAAAACTCTTTAGCAGGCTTTGACACTGCATAATATAATTCTTATTTACGGGTAAAACTCTTTAGCAGGCTTTGACACTGCATAATATAATTCTTATTTACGGGTAAAACTCTTTAGCAGGCTTTGACACAGCATAATATAATTCTTATTTACGGGTAAAAACTCTTTAGCAGGCTTTGACACTGCATAATATAATTCTTATTTACGGGTAAAACTCTTTAGCAGGCTTTGACACAGCATAATATAATTCTTATTTACGGGTAAAACTCTTTAGCAGGCTTTGACACTGCATAATATAATTCTTATTTACGGGTAAAACTCTTTAGCAGGCTTTGACACTGCATGATTTAATTCTTATTTACGGGTAAAACTCTTTAGCAGGCTTTGACACAGCATAATATAATTCTTATTTACGGGTAAAACTCTTTAGCAGGCTTTGACACAGCATAATATAATTCTTATTTACGGGTAAAACTCTTTAGCAGGCTTTGACACTGCATGATTTAATTCTTATTTACGGGTAAAACTCTTTAGCAGGCTTTGACACAGCATAATATAATTCTTATTTACGGGTAAAACTCTTTAGCAGGCTTTGACACAGCATAATATAATTCTTATTTACGTGTAAAACTCTTTAGCAGGCTTTGACACAGCATAATATAATTCTTATTTACGGGTAAAACTCTTTAGCAGGCTTTGACACTGCATAATTTAATTCTTATTTACGGGTAAAACTCTAGCAGGCTTTGACACAGCATAATATAATTCTTATTTACGGGTAAAACTCTTTAGCAGGCTTTGACACAGCATAATATAATTCTTATTTACGGGTAAAACTCTTTAGCAGGCTTTGACACAGCATAATATAATTCTTATTTACGGGTAAAACTCTTTAGCAGGCTTTGACACAGCATAATTTAATTCTTATTTACGTGTAAAACTCTTTAGCAGGCTTTGACACAGCATAATTTAATTCTTATTTACGGGTAAAACTCTTTAGCAGGCTTTGACACAGCATAATATAATTCTTATTTACGGGTAAAACTCTTTAGCAGGCTTTGACACAGCATAATATAATTCTTATTTACGGGTAAAACTCTTTAGCAGGCTTTGACACAGCATAATATAATTCTTATTTACGGGTAAAACTCTTTAGCAGGCTTTGACACAGCATAATATAATTCTTATTTACGGGTAAAACTCTTTAGCAGGCTTTGACACTACATGATATAATTCTTATTTACGGGTAAAACTCTTCAGCAGGCTTTGACACTGCATAATATAATTCTTATTTACGGGTAAAACTCTTTAGCAGGCTTTGACACAGCATAATATAATTCTTATTTACGGGTAAAACTCTTTAGCAGGCTTTGACACAGCATAATATAATTCTTATTTACGGGTAAAACTCTTTAGCAGGCTTTGACACAGCATAATATAATTCTTATTTACGGGTAAAACTCTTTAGCAGGCTTTGACAAGCATAATATAATTCTTATTTACGGGTAAAACTCTTTTGCAGGCTTTGACAAGCATAATATAATTCTTCTTTACGGGTAAAACTCTTTAGCAGGCTTTGACACAGCATAATATAATTCTTATTTACGGGTAAAACTCTTTAGCAGGCTTTGACACTGCATGATTTAATTCTTATTTACGGGTAAAACTCTTTAGCAGGCTTTGACACTGCATAATATAATTCTTATTTACGGGTAAAACTCTTTAGCAGGCTTTGACACAGCATAATATAATTCTTATTTACGGGTAAAACTCTTTAGCAGGCTTTGACACAGCATAATATAATTCTTATTTACGGGTAAAACTCTTTAGCAGGCTTTGACACAGCATAATTTAATTCTTATTTACGGGTAAAACTCTTTAGCAGGCTTTATTTACGGGTAAAACTCTTTAGCAGGCTTTGACACTGCATAATATAATTTTTATTGCCTGGCCTCATGGATCAATATTTCCTAGGTGCGAAGCTAAGAGGTCACAGTTAGCAAGCAAAATTTTGTGCATGCTGATTATCATCGGTTTTTGTTACATGCGTTTCAGCAACAACAGTTAGCAGAAACATAACCATATTGCTGATACAATACATCGATGTATTTATCTCCTTTAGCTTTTTGCTAGCAGCTTTTTATTCCATGCGATTTCTTATACGGACCAGTCCGTTTGACCTTTTTTCTGCGTTTCTATACTACTGGATTAGTCCATTTGTCTTCTAGGTAAGGGGTGACACAATCATTTCGCGCCAAAATGTCACGTGTAAGTTTTTGCGCCTTTTCCCTGAACTATTCTATTGAATGGAAATGAAAACTGCATGCATTATATAAAGTAGTTTTTTTTTTGTCGGAATCCTGGTCGAGCTTTGGAAAAAAAATATCCATTCGGTGATATTGTGAAGTGGGTTAGAAGTTACATCATTTAAAGTAATAAAAACGAAACGAACAAAAATCTCTCAGGAGGATGTAATGGCCAAATATGCATCTGTTCATACCCACCCCCCTCCAGGGGGTTTCCTCCTACAAAAACAGTATAGACCTATGAAAGTGTCCTCTCACATTTCAGGATTGAGAAATTTATTACTTTTTTGTTCGTACAAATATTTTTGATGTGGACTCCTCGTCCCTGAGAAAAACTTACTGTATCCGCGCATGTTGCCATTCAAATATAGCCGTCAAGTTTGTTGGGTTATTTAAGCATATAGAACTTTATTTATTCCACGTTTCCAACAATCTTTAATGCTCTGGCATACCCAAGATACTATTAAACACATTCTTCATGTCAATCATGTCGTTACGATTCCCAATTTCTTGTAGTTATCATATTTTCATCTTCCTCAAAGCCTACGCTGTAGTTGAATCTAATTTATGTAACCTTTATATATAGCCATGCTTTTCAGCATTAATCAATCATATTAGTTTTCCCCCTATTTTTTTCATCCTCTAAAACCATTTTTTAGACTCGCGGAGTGAGGTTTTCATTTTTACGTCGAGGGTTCGAATCTACAGCGGGACATATGTACATGCTTTCATTTTTTATTTGTAAAACAATATATACATTTTAAATAAAATGTGTTCTTTTTCCATTGCTCTGATGAGTATCATACAATTGACTTGAAATGAATACATGATGTTTTGTGCAACATCTTTATAATTTACTCTAGTGAAATTATCTAATACCCCCTCCCCCTGCCCCAATGTAAACGTTTACATGTATAAATTATCATGCTTATAGGTTCAATAGATATTGATTGCATTAGTCAGGCAAGCTTTTTTGAAAAGCTGTTACTTGTTTACGGGTAACTCTTTAGCAGACTTTGTCACTGCATAATATAATTCTTATTTACGGGTAACTATTTAGCAGGCATTGCAAGTACATGGTATAATACTTAATTGCACTGTTTACTCTTTAGCAGGCATTGCCAGTAACTGATATAATACGTATGGTTACTCTTTAGCAGGCATTGCCAGTACATGGTATAATACTTATCTGTACTGGTAACTCTTTGGTAGGATTTGTCAGTTAGCAGGCTTTGCCAGTAACAGTTATAATATTTACTTGTACTTGTAACTCTTTAGCAGGCTTTGTCAGTGACTGTTATAATACTTACTTGTACTGGTACATGTAACTCTTTAGTAGGCATTGCCAAAACATGGTATAATACTTACTTGTACTGGTAACTCTTTAGCAGGCTTTGCCAGTAGACTTTCCAGTTCCTGGTTGCTTATCCCTATAGCCTGTATCAGGCAGCTCTGGGGCCCAGGTAAAGGTGAGCTCAAGGCCAACGCACCAGCGGGAAGTGGAGCTATGTTCTGTCTATTCATTGGTTGTCCCTGTCCCAAGCATGTGTGTGGTAATCAGGTAATATTTTATAAGTGATAACTGTTAGCACTTATATTACTCGTTGAAGAAAATTTATTTTAAATGTATACGAAATGACTTCTGTAACAGCATGAAATAAGAAAGAGCAAAAAAAAAAAAAAAAAAAAAAAAAAAAAAAAAAACTTGCAGTAGGGCCTACACATTAAAGAAAGGGATTAAGAAGAAAAATGCATTTAAAATGACTTAAGGCCTATCTGAGATATTGTTTATTTGCACATGAAAGATGCATTTGTGGGAGGTCAAATCAATGCTCAAGATGCTTAATTAACATATGTGAAAAAATGGAAAGAAATTAATTCTTTCTATATATATTTTTAAGCAAGAAAATCTTACCTATATCTTGAAATAGATGTAATACTCGTGAAGCGTTAGGTTACATTGTGAGGTTTATTTCCGCAGTTTATATTATTCTACCACAGTCATGCACACATGGACTTGAACTGGATCATCCATGGATGCAGATGGCACGGGTCTTTATTGCCCATTAACAGTAAGACTGGAAAATTCTTATACAACGCACCTTTTCCAAGAACAACCTTTAAGTTTAATAACCATCCTGCTCAGGCTGTTATGCTGTTAATTGTTTAGTCAAGCTTGACATCTTTTTCTTTGTATGTAAACAAACTAGAATGACCCTTTATTTTTGTAATCCCGTGCCCGACTTAAAATTAAGGTAATCGTTGAAAAATTTCCCGATAAGGCCGTATAAAATAAGGTGTCACTTATTTTCATAAAAATAAATTTCAATTTATTCTTTCAAAATTAGTTTAGAATTAAAGATGAATATCTTAATTTTTGTTATTAATATTTTAAAAGTTAATATGAGATAAATTCACACCGTAGCCGACACAAACTTAGATGTACCCGCAAGTGCGTTAACATTAGGCCTATGGGAAAATATAAGAGGGTGGCATTTATAAATCGATTTTCAGAATATGAAGCACTGAAATATACACACACACTGAGGGACACTCACCTTTTTGCCCAGTTATTAGATATGCCCTGCACACTAATAGTTTACAATAATGAATGTCGCGTGTGTACTTCATATCCAAAAATTGAAAATTGTCTAAAATTTGCATAACCTAAAATTAGAACCTTCTGGTTACTTGATCATACACCAGGTTAAAATACTAAGCCAAAGGAGCACATTTTTTTTAAAATCAAAAATAATTCTCGAAAATATTAACAATAGAATACATTTTCGGATACTGTCTTTATTTCTATACTTATTTCGTCGCAAGCATATAACGTTAACGTCTCATTTTTATTCAACTACACGGAACTGGGGAGTTTTCTGAAAATCGTCGGCATTAGCGTTCCCAGTTAAATATTTTTCAAGCAGATATTTTTTTATATCATTTAGTCCCTTGACCATTAATTCCTTGTCATCTGTCGGGTTTCAGATGCTGTGTTTTAAGCTAATATGGGTCGAGGTCAATGTTTTTAAAGTAAGTTAAAGTTTTTTTAGCAATGCCACTATAAGTACTTGATGACCAGACGTGCTTCTTGATGTATCTTCGGATGCACAGTACCAGACTTGGTTCGGAAGCTGGGTCTGACTTACATTTCATTGATGAATGCTAGAGTAAAAGCTTGACTAAACATGCACCGATGATACATTTAGGGTTGCACATTACCAGAAATGGTATAGATGCCGGATCTTACTTTTATTTTCTGACTGATTGAACGAAAGAAGTGAAAAGAAGTCCATTCCTTAACGTTCTGTATCAAACATATATCAGGAAAAAATATTATTTAGCCTTTTTTTCGAATAGAAACCCTTGCTCCTCCATTCTGCTAGAGAAGGTTCGTTATGTTTTTCCGTGTGGTTGATATTTATGTAGGGAGCGTAATTTTTTTTAAAGACTAAATGTTGATTTATATGTTTCTGCAGAATTTTGGTTTTAACACATCTTTGGCATTTATAAATGTATTTTGAACTGCGATCTGGACAAGCACTTTCAAAAACGATGCTACGCCACTGCACACACCCCTAAATGTAACTAGAATTGGTGAAGCAAGAACCTAGTTTCAGTTGCTGAGAACATAATGTGCATCTTTAAGTTGTTTTAAAAATACTTCCAACTTTAAGAATGAAATGGAGACACTCAATCTATTTAAGTTTTTTTATCAATTGGCTATTTATTCGAGTTAGTATTGCATTACCAATAATAGTTTACTACCTGCAAGTATAACCTGGTTTTAAAATTAAAAAAAAAAAACATGTAAATTCCAATTCAATAATTCCGCAAAAAAAATCATTGTAGCGAAACAAAATACAAATATGATCTATTACTGATCGAGGTTAACTCATTTATCAAAACTTAACACAATAGTCACAAGCATTTTGGGAAAAAAAAATGACCCCCACCCCACCCCGGTTTAAAATCATAATTCCGCCAAAAATCAATGAAGCGGAATTCAAACTCGATCTCTAATTCAGCAAGATACACTTAATACTAAAAATAAGTTTATCAAATAAAAGATTGCAAGCAAGCGATTATAGAGAAAAGTGCGGAAAACCAAATGGGAGAGACTGACAGACAGAGGGACGGACAGCTAGACAGACGATACGGAAACTATACATGTAGTCCCTCTGGTTTCACTGGTAAGGGACTAGTAAATGCTATCTTGATAAAATATATTGACTTTGTTTAATATTATTGATAAATCAAAATACAATGAACATTACAATGCGATTCTTTTGAATATACTTTTAAAATAATATAAATATGCACCTGCATTTCTTTAATCGTACAGAAATCCATTTTTTTTTTTTCAAAGCATGGTTTAAAACTAGATTAAATAATTTTAATGTATAATTTCACAATAAATTTTGCGCTATAACTTTAGTTGCTGAAAATGTATTGCAAACAGTTCTAAACACCTGTAAATTACACTCAAAGTTGATCTATCTCATGTTTTTTTTCTATTTGTTTCCCTACGTACGGAAAAACTGTTATAAATTGATTATTATGTTTAAATATAAACTGTCAGTAATTATAAATTCCTCTTGTAAACGTTTCTGTCTATTCTGTATATATATGCTTTATAAGTTAAATTCTATCTTTCACAGAAAAGTTACAATTAATAGAAAAATCTTGCAACTTAAAAAACATTCACATAAAATAATTTTTTTTAATTTTCTGTTTAAATTAATATTGAAATTGGTTATTTGATGTCTTTATTTACATTTGTCACATTTCATTTATGATTTGACGTTGAAAAAACTTCAGTATCCCGTTTTAAATCTGCCTACTCCTTAAATGAAGTGAAGGGGGTATACTTAATTTTTTTGTTACGTACCAGAAAATGTGCAGTATAAATTATTTTCATATTTTTAGGAAGATAAGACATTTATCTACAACATATCACAATTTCATAACATTTCTCGAGGGGCCGCAAAACAGCCTTATCGAAACTCCCCCTTTCCCGAACGACCAGTATAAAATAAGGTGTCTTGATTTTTTTTTTTCTTTTTTTTTTTTATTAGAATGAAACATGTCATAATTTTATGGATACTTTATGTTAACTTAAGGTATACTTAGTTTATAAGAAATTAATCATTGAAACAGATGTACTCTCTAAGTCTCATAACTTTTTTAACCACAAATTAGGAAAAATCTTATCATTTCAGAATAAAATATAAGTAGGCCTATTATACTTTGCATTTATAAATAAGGCATGCATGTATATGCACACAGAAACAACTATGTTTGTTGAATGACTGCAGAAATACATGTAGTATGCTGACTAAATTGAAATAGAAAGATAACGAACTATAATCAAGCTGAAAAATCCACTGAAATATACACACACTAGCCCCCAACCAGTTGGAATCAGGTGTCATGAAGGAGTAATCATCCCATGTCGACCAGTCACTTATATGCCATGTGCTCCTTTTCATGATCAAGTAAACGAGAAAATCTGCAGATATTTAAGTGGGGAAAAAGACAGCAAATATTCGAAAGACTGAATTTGCTAACTAGGTCATCGTACATGTATCAGCTATGCGAAATGTTGACTTGAATACATGTAAGACTGTTCATAGCTGCAATAATGTAGCCCTCTCCTTTATTTATTTATTTTTTTTTTATTTGGGAGAGAAAATATCAGATAAAAAAAAAATCGGAGAGGGCTACATTATTGCAGCTAGACTGTTCATATCCCTGCATCATTACTAATATGTCAGTATTTATTCAACCGTAGAACATGCTTAAACTAATTTACTTCGGGACTTAAACTCCATATGTTTTACTCGCCTATAAGTCGGTAATTTGAGAGTTAGATTTTAGTGCCAAAGTCTATGTCCGACTATAAGCGAGTCATAAAAAGATTGGTATTTTTCTGTATTGGGAATTGTAGTATTTTATAAACATTTTCAACAGCTATCGTTGAACAAAGTCTGGATATATTATTATCATTTATGTATAATAAGATTATACATACATTACATGTATTTTATATACATATATTAAATAATTTTATTTTTTTAATCTTAAGAGGGAATTATTAATTCTATTTATGATTTAAAGTTAAATAGCGACTTCGTTTCTAAAAATATTAATTAAAATCAGGGTAAAACATCAGAGCGTTTATTAAAAATTAGCATCTGATTCTGGCAAAAAATTGTACCGACTTCGCGGGTCAATGGCAAATCCCTTCCAAATAACCTCAAAAAAAATAAAACCGACTTATAGGCGAGTATATACGGTACATGTTTGTTGGTGATAAGGCTATACTGCTTCATGTATAAATAAGGGAAGTTTACAGCATAGAAATAAACATCGTATACACAATAAATTCAAGTTGCTCAGTCGTTTGCAATCGTTGTCTTTTATAAAGATATACATGTAATATCCAAAAATGAAACAGATGTACTAGTTTGGCATGTCAAACGTTGCAATATTTCATCTTTTCCATTTGTATTGTATAATTTTTATTTGTATTCTATAAATTTCCGTTTGCATTGTAAATTTTTCCATTTGTATTGTATAGTTTTTATTTGTATTCTATAATATCCCATTTGTATTCTTTAACTTTTATTTGCTTTGGTATATTTTTTATTTGTATATTCTATAATGCTCTATAATGCTTCACTTGTATTCTATAATTTCCTGTTTGAATTGTACAATTTTTTATTTACCATTAATTCTATATTTTCCATTTGTCAATATAAATCATTTGAATTGTATTTTTCATAGAATTCTACAATTTCCATTTGCATTGTATATTTTCTTATTTGTATTGTTTTAACAGTAACATTTCTTATTTAATAAGTACCCAAAATAATATCAACAATTTGTTAAAGACCTACTGAATTCTAGAATCTCAAACATCTTTTAAACAATTACTTCTGAATACTTTTGTGTAGAATCAGAACACACAAGTTGAATGACAAGGTATGTAGCTACAAGTTCCATTCTTATTGAAAAAATAGCTGTCTATGAAGTCAGAAGAGCATTGACTTAAATTAGTGATGGGAGTGGTTGCAGGTTGCATACTGCAGTATATTGTTGAAAAACAAGTACATTCGTACTTTTCATTAATTTGTTTTATGATTTCAAATTTTCGATCAATTCCATAGATTTTTTAGTATCTCTATACCATACCAGATAATCACCACTTCTCCAACATGTTGCTGTACAGTATTCCTGAAAACGAACAAGCCCCCCCTTCATTTTTTTCGCATGGATAAAAGAAATAGCCTCGGCAGAATATTAGATTGAACACGTTATGTTTTAATGTCGTTTAGAAATCCATTGTAGGTATAATATGGCAATTCAAACTTAATATGAATGAACTGGGGCCAGTATTTAATTATTTTATATTTACATCCATTGAATATTTTCTCGTCTGTTTTCTTACGCGGGTTATGTAATTTTTTTCTGCAATAGCTGCTACATTCATTCCCGTACTAACAACCAAAGAAAGCACTTACAACGCACTTTGAAAAATTACGCACTTAATTTGAAAAAAAATTTCAAAGTGCGTTAAATTTGGGACCAAGTCAACGCACTTTGAAAATATAAAATTTCTTTTCAAAGTGCGTTAATATCGACCATATTAACGCACTTTGAAAAAATGTGTTTGCAAATATTAGGTATGATAAATAATTCAACCCGTTTGATAACTTTTCGGTGATAAGGTCATTTTAGGATGCGATTTTGATTTTTCCATACTTTGAAAATTCTTTTTTTTAAATATTTTACTGTACTTAATTTTTTTTCCATTTTGCATGCATTTTATGTCAACTAAAATTTATTGAAAGTTTTCAACGTCATACCAGTTAGACAAATACATATATTTGGGTGTAGTGTAGGCATCGGTAAGGGGAGGGGGACTTAGGCACACAAATGTTTAGCAAAGATATACATAATATAGGCATTGAAAATTGAGGCTTACCTTTGGAAGGGGGGGTCCACTTTCAATTTGCTACCGACGGCTATGTACAATATTAATGTATCAAACAAAAAATGGAGAGGTGCCTGAGGGACCCTCTACTCGTCTTCTCCTTGTTCTCAATGGGGTTAAATGAATAATGTAATAATTAAATTAAAAAGTTTTTCGGAAGATATAATTATTACATATTGATTCTCTCAATTACTAAAATCTAAGTCTAGAATTTTTTATTTTATACATATTTTTTCAAAGTGCGTTAAATGTCCCCATGGTAAAAATGTTTATGTACACTCTTAACGCACTTTGAAAAAAAATTTCAAAGTGCGTCGAGTGTGTCCCAAATTTAATGCACTTTGAAAAATTTTTCAAAGTGCGTTAATTTTGTCCCAATTTGTACGCACTTTGAAAATTTTTTTCAAAGTGCGTTGCCACAAAGCATTGTATTGTTTATTAATAATGCATTTATAATGTATCAAATTCTTGCTTTTATAATTATTCATAAATACTTCGGTATAAAAATTGTCCCTCAAAAGTTTCATAAACGCAATATTTCAATTTCTTTTGATACTTTTAATCCATTCCGACACAGGAAATGTTTAAACAGGCGGCTGAGAAATAAAATACATCTAGAGTACTTGTTTGATATGCCAAAACAAAAAAAAAAATTGGGAGTTAAAAAAAATACACAGATTATGTCGATTTATAGTCAGAGTGTTCAAAATTTGTGACGTGGAAAAGTGACGCTGATCATGTTTGATAGATATTGAACTGCGAGAGGCAAATTATGCTGTTTATAATTATGAAAGGATCTTTCACGATGTATTAATTCACAATATTATGCTTTGAAATCAGCTGTTAGTGACATTGTAAAGTTTACTAAAGAAGACTGGTTTGTGTCTCTACTTAACTCTTAAGATTTTCACCAAAATAAGGGGGAAGAGGGAGCTGGCTTGATAAACAATGACGTTGTCGAACGTCATGAAAGTAAACAGCGACAGCGCCGGGTGATCATATATTGTGTTTTTTTCCCTAATCTTACGATTATTTGATAAATTATTGATGTATCAAGCTAAAAATTTAAACACTTATATATTTGTTGTTTTGTGTTACAGGTACTTAAAAATTTTGAAAGCCCACACTACGTGTATAGAATTCATTTTACCGTATCAGTCCACGAACTTTTTGATAACCTTTCGTATAGTCTTTAAATAAATTTTCGTGAATTCAAATCAGATTAAAATCAGGATTTTCCACAAGAAAAAAAAGCCTAAGATGGTAAATTTTAGTGGTTTTATTTTCTCCTTATGTAAAACAACCAGAATTGCTGGTATTTTACATTAAAATCAAATAGATGTCTAAAAGACATAAAAACAAAGTTGGTATTTCTATAAACATGTAAATAAAAAAAACTAAACTGAACAAAGGCCCCAAACATCACATTGGCAGTAAAGTGAAAAGTACAATTATAAAAATTGAAAGCACTGGACACTATTTTACTTAGCGCTTCTCTCTCTCTACAATATCACAGATAAAGTTAATAACAGAAAGCCATTTCAATGATATTAACTTAGTTTTAAAATGAAATTAAAAAGTATTTTGATGCTGAAACCATTTATCACTTCGTATAAAAAATACTTTTATTAATTAAAAACTTATATTGAATGTCACAATTTGAAAAGCAAATACACGTTCGTTATGCGTAGGACGGAATAACTGTAAAATAATTTGCACAAAAAGGAATTAAAAACTATGAAAATCACGGAAAAATTATTAAAAGAATTAAGAGATGTGATAATAATGCTAAATAATAAGTCAATTTGACATTCTTTTATGATTTGTCCACTTTTCAAACAAGGACATTTCACCGTTTTCAAAACAACGTAAATCACATCCTCAATATCAATATAGCAATGTACAGAATTAAGAATTCTAGAGATTCGTTGCATGAACATTTTATCCTTAATTATGTAGAGACCTCATTTCTGCACCCAAGATTACCAGAACCATGAAAAGTTATTAACTACATGACACACGTATCAATATTAATAGTATTCAAGGAAACTTCTGAGATTACAAACTAGGCCCATTGATTCACAAACGGTGTATACTCCACACAGTACGTAGGTTTGCGGGACTTCAGTACCAGGTCGGAGTGTTGGCGGTACATTTTTTCTCCCATCATGGGAAATCTCTCCGCTAGTAACTGCTCCTCTAGAGGTGTGGGGAGCGGCATAGCACGTTTCTGTTTTTGTTTACTTACAAGAATGTACCGTCTGGAAAAGTAAACAAAAGTAAGCTTTTTCATGTAAGTTAAGTTTACTTTTAATTTAAATCCTAATTTGAATGTATTTTCTTTTTATTTGCTTCTGCTTGTAAATAATTTGTAATTTAACTTATGTTTTGATCACTTGTGGGTCACTGCATCAACTATCTTTGACTCTAATGAGCAAAACGTTCTGTATACATATTTCCACAGGTCCTTATTATTACCATTATTTTGAATCTTATTGACCGACATATCATATCTTATACAATTATTTCTTAGATGTTACCAATATATTAAATTATATATAAATTCAAATAAAAATGACAACATACGTGCACTTGCTGGGAATGGATTTGGTTGAAGGAGGCCTTAGAGAATTCGGGTTTCTGGGATCAATCATGCGTGGAGAAAGACTAGGCTCTGATGTCTGACGACTAGGAGGTCTGGATAGTGGAGTATCTGATCCACCTTGTCGTATCTTGTATCTGAAATACCCAATCCGATTTTATCATTTATATCTTAGACATGGATCTGACATGCTAAACGTAAATGCTGTAATGTAATGTAGTCAGTGCTTTGCTACTGACGTTGCAAAGATGATATGCCAAGGACTACATTGACCAATTGAAAAATTGAGAGGAGTGATTGGTTCAGATTTTAAAAATAAGCATTGTTTCTTAACATCTAAAAAGAAAATAGAACTATGTAATTTAGGAGAGTCTAGTTGTGTCTCAAGTCAAAATTGAACTCAAACCAAACTGGATTGAATGAATAAAGATCAATGCAAAGTTGACAGTTTTCTAAGTGGAACTGTTGGAGCCAGAGCATTTCGAACGATTTTCTCAGGAATTTCTATGTTTAGTAACCATGGCAACAACAATTATCAAAATCGGAAAATTTAGAAAAATATCACATGAATCTTAAGATAGCTTACTTGAGTATAAAGTTATATTGAAATCGGATCAAAACTGCTGGAAGAGTAGCACTTTGAAAAATTGTTTATGGGCACCAAGATAGACAGACAGGTAGCTAGACGAACGGACGACAGACATCATATTACTAATTTATAATATCTCCTGTTCACTAACTAGTTGAGCCAAAAACATACACTGAAGATCCATAATAAATAATTGGGTATTTCTCCTAAAAGAATCTGGGGCTGTAACGTAAACATGAGCTTTGTTATACCTAAAAGGTTTCTCCACTTTCAGTGCTGTTTTGTCCGTCTGTTGCTTTTGAAGATTTGCTGCTGCTGTTTTGGGTCGCTTTGGGACTTGGACGGTAGGTTTTGCTGTATTTAGATGAGGCATATAGGACATCGAAGTGTTGGCCCTCTCAACCTGCGTCAGGGCAAAGAATGAGGTTTCAGAACGCGTAGAAAATCCTATGGCTGCAAAAAGTCGAGTAATAAATATTGTACAGCATAGTACTGAAGATCACTAAATTTTCGCGACATCTTATTTTCGCGAGATAGTCATTGACTCTTTATTAGCGAGACATAATTTTCACGAATTGTTGTTTTTCCTTTATATAATCCTTAGGTATACTTTTAAACGCGAGAATGAAATTTTCGCGAGCTCATTGTCTCGCGTAATTACGTGAAAATAACGTTCTCGCGAATAAAGTTGTGATTTACAGTATTATAACAAAATTAAAAGTCAGTGGAGTTAGTTAAGAACAAGATTAATATGTGGAATGCACTATAAAAATAAAGTTTTGGAATGTGTATAAAACTCGTGATCAAAAGAGTATACCAGGTATATTTTACATTATAGAGTAATACAGAACAAGAATAAATGAAGTGAAGAAAAAGTGACATAAATTAGGACGAATTCATCATTAATCCTTCTTTGCTTCAAATAATTCTTTGTCACCGAGTTCTTACATAACATATCTGGGTGAGAAGAGGACTTTTACCTGATTGTGTATCTATATCTCTTTGGTGAAGCTTTTGTCTCTTTTCCTCCAGCTGCTCTTCCCAGGCTTGTCTCTTCTGGGCTGCACTCTTTGACCGCAATGCCTTTTGCATTCTAAGCAACATGTGTCTGTTAAAAAACCGAAAGGGCTACATTTAAAATTCTGAAAATAATGAGAACTACAGGTTTTGTCTTTTTGAAAATTTAAAGAACTTATGATTAATATAAAGCCATTTAATATCATCATGTTATCTTTATATTGGTAGCTACTAGTATTTTGAATCTTTATATCGTAATTTTGGTAAATATCTGTAGAAAGTCTATATGGTGTTACAGGTAAATACGCTTGTTCATGTGATCAACACTCAACCAATCAGAGATCTTAGAATAATAATTTTAAAAATTGTGTACAATCAGAATAATTTTGCAAGTGATCAATGACAAGGGAAGTAAATTTACGATCTATTTTTAAGGAATAAGCATCTGTCAACGATATCAAACAGCCTGGGCTTTAATTTATCGTAGAAAATGGCTGTGTATAAAGTTGAAAAGTCGCAAGTTTTTAAGCTGTTGATTTTGGTAAAATCTTGTGATTTCAAATTTTCTAAAGGTTTCTTGGAATTTTAAGTATCCACGTCTGATTTACACCACTTCTCGAATATATTGTTGCACTGTACTCTTGAGGTTTCTCCTTCACTACCGTAAATATCTTCGAGAGGGGTAAAGAAAGAGGCTTGGCTGAACATATACTGGAGCCCGCTATGTGTCTTCGCTATATTCCTTCGCTAAGCGCTCGGCACTTTAAAGTGAAAGTTGCGAGTCTTTCGGATTCTCAATGGTTCTGAGTGCCGAATATTGGTCTTAATTTGAAATCCTTCACCGGTATACTGTGATTTCTTCATGTTATAGTGAATCGTTCTTCAATGGGAGGTAAAACAACGTAAATCCAGTCAATCCAACTGAAGTCATATTTTAGATAAATGAACAAGGTGATGATAACGAACAGTTATAAATCTAAAACGCTTCGTTTTCTTTTTATGGCAAAAAGTTTATTTTTAGCGATATAATCCGTACAAGATGTTGAAATATACATGTCTGTATTTTTCTCTTTATTTTAAAATATTTACATTTGCAAATGTTTTCCTTTATATAACACTACTGAAAGGAATGCGTATCTATAACTGTATAAATACAGGTATGGGGTCAAGAGGTCATAGATGTGCGTTTGGATAATCGTTTGACGTAATTTCTCAGTGACGTCATAAAGGGTCGACGCGCGTTCATTGAATTACATACATGCCGTTGGGTTTGAAAAATAATGCATTTCACACGTTAAAAGTCACAATTATGCAAATATAAAGTATGAATTAGTCACAAATGTAAATATAAGTAATAAGGTATCATTTTAAAACATCTATCGGGCTATAAATACGGGTCGGTACGAGATTAAATTCATCATAAAGCCCTTCGGGCTTTATGGAATTTAATCTCGTGACCGACCCGTATTTATGTCCCGATAGATGTTTAAAAATGATACCTTATTTCTTAAGTAAATGTAAAATACGTTTTGTAAAGACTTGCAAAAATAAATATAAATTTTAACAGAATTTCAAACCCCACACAGCCATGTCGTCTACTTGTAGAGCATTTGAGGTAAAAAGCCATAAAAACCCAACATCATTGATTTTTTCCCCGTAAAATCTTCTGCACAATTAATCCTCCGAAGATTTGTATCTCTTTCTGTCGACGCAAAGTCAACCTGGATACTTAAGTTGTCAAGAAAAAAAAGTTATAAGAAAGACCCAAAGATCCAACGTCTAGATCTGTATTAAGCGTGCCATTTCTTCCATGGTCCCAACGAATCCAATGTAATTTTAAGGAAAATGATTTAAAATGTTCATGCCTTGCAACTGCCATATAATGCATCACAAAAAGAAATCTTCAAAGAATCTTTCTTTTTAAAGATCCAATGAAGTTACCATTATAATTAAGCTAAACCTTTTTTTTTTCAAATATGTCTACTCTGTTTTGGAAACCAAAGCATACATTTTTATTTATTTAAACCCAAGTATAACACTCAACTATATCTTTTTAAGATTCTGTTTATAGGAATTTAATAATTTTCATGTTCATGCTATCATCAGATATCGAATTTGAGAGGCCCTTGACTGTGCACGTTTATACAAGCTTGTCAAAATAAAAGTGTGTTTTTCTCAATAAAAAACAAAATAACTTTAGCGTTATGGATAATCTCTGCTTCTAGACTTACCTCTCTATCTCCCGTTCTTGCCAATTTTCCTCAAATTGGTTCCCATCATTTCTGTATAATAATTTATTTTTATCCGTAGCTGATACTCTGAAATTGTGCAAAAATCATCTAATAGTATAAAGTGAGTGATAGAAAAAAAAAGCAAGAGAGGGATTAATAATTATCAATAATAACAATCGTTTCTTACCCATGGATATTATTATATCGCTCCAGTGCATCTTCAAAAGCATTTTGGAGATCCTAAGGATATACAACATGATCAAAATGTGGTTTAGTGACATCATAATATGTACATGCAACTGGAGGAACAAATTATATTATCTTTCATTTTCAAAAAAATCTAATAAATGAGATTTTCTTTAAAATCGTTCTTTTTTTTAAAAATACATGTATAACATTAACTTAGTTTGAATTAAAATTTAACAAATATAAAAAACGAAAATTAATATGCTGACAGGATATATTTTGCAAAGCTAATCAAAATGCATTTTTAATATTATCTAGCCATGCAAATATTGTGTTATGTTACAAGCCCTGTTAAAAAGACATATCTTTGTTTTATATAATTATTGGTCATATCATTAAACAATCGATTAAAACATTACACACGCAGATCAAATATTTAAGAAATCATAAAAAGAAAGCCACACATTTCGCTTCCATTTTACTCATCCATAAGCACCGTATGTTATAATTCTATAAGCAAATATTCCAAACAAACCACCAATTATGCAGCACAACCTTCAATACTCAATAAACATTGCAGGACACAAGACACAGTCCATGTACGTTACTGTGACCGAAGTCACAGTGGTTACTTACTTCTAAATTGTCAGGAAGTTCAAGAATAAGTTCTAGCTGTAAATGAGGCATTTCGTTAAGTATGTTTTTATCAATATAAGAGCCCTACAAACACATTTTTCTGATCAGTAGTAAAATCATGTCTATGTCACAAACACTGAGAAACAAAGTGAAAATCCAGAAACTTTGTCAATATCTCTATATGCAGGGTAAAATCAATTTTGACAATTTATCCATATAGTAAGCCCTTGTCAGCCATTATTTCTCCAAGTTCTAATCTCTCTGTTTGAAACTGTTTGAAAAATTCTAACACATTTTTAAACCTCCTGTTTGATCATTGATCAAGGACGATGAAACACGATGAATGCATTTCAAAATTTACTTTTGAATCAATTCGATCAATATCTCTTCAAATATAATAACAATTTTTCTGGTCCAAATCAATATCTCCCACAGAATGGCGAAACTCTATAACATTGTTTATCTGAAAATCCAAATAATCACATGTGTTCCATTGAATTTAAAAATCAGTCCTGGGTGATATATATTCTCCATGTAGATCTAGGCCCTTAGTCATTACACACTCCACTCCAAAACTCACGTGACTACAGGCTCTTTTTTTTGTGCATTTCGAATTTCAATAAAAGTTTATCAATGCAAGTGATCTGATCCATTAACTTTAATTCGATGGATCCTTTTCCCCCATTCTTCACCTGGTAGTGATCCGAGGAGATTTAAATTCATAGACTGTTATTTGATTGAAATGACTTTCCTCAGCCATGAAAAGAAAATTTAACAGTTATAATATTGTGTCTGTTGGCTATCAATTAAGTACAATTAAAGCATTAGAAATATGCATTGAGCTCTTTAATTAAACGATCTGTTTATACTATAATCTTTTTAATCCCCCTATCAATGCATTATTCAGTTGAAATTTGACCACAACATTTGGGTTGGGGAAGTGAAGTGGGGCAGACATGATTTGATTTATATTTTGAACTGCATTTGAAAGACACTAGTAAAGGTAAAAAGTTTAAATACTGTTCCGATTTTTTACATTTCTTGAATGGTTATAAATGTATTATGCAGAAGAAAGACATGTTTGAAATGACTTTTGATAAATTAGAAAACTGAAATTAAATTTTCACAAGACAGATTTCAAGATTTTATTCCATATTCCTTAAAACAAAATCATAGGAAAGAAACAACTAAAGAACCTTTTTAATTAGATATTTTAGTATCTCTTGCTAAGTTTTGTGTAATTTAATAGTCAATTATTGACCAAATATTTAATATTGCAGGTACTCAGTGTTACGCCATAAACCAGTGCAGTTTCCCAATAGATATGCAATACATATATTATTTCTTGTAATTAATCAATAATGGGGAAATCTTTCCTACTCACAATGAATAAAGTTTTGCATGATTCACCCAACTGGTTTAGAAAACAAGACATTCAATTTATGCTGAAGTAACTTAGTATCTGTGCCAGATTCCTATTTTCTTTCCTACATTATATACATGTAGATTGTTTATTTTACAGCATTTGAAAGGTTTATCCTGGCAATAGAATGATATCATTTGATATACTTGAAGATGTTTGCTCTTGATGAGAAAGGGAATACCTTCAACTACACTTATCTCGAATGTCACTAACATTCATCAATTTTCTTTAAAATGCAGTTTACTGAAGTCTGTGACAGTGAACACCTTACGTTTAAATTAAAGAGTATTTCAATGTTTGTTTCAACCAACTTTTATTGACAGTATCATGTCACATTGGATTTTCTGAAATCTTGGGTATTCCAAACCCCCACTCCACCCCCAAAAAATATTTCAATACAGAGAGACAGTCAACATTACGTTGTCAAATTGTAAAACAAAAGAAAAAAATAGACCGCGGAAAAAATATCCTAGAAATGTCACACTGTGCATAAACTAAGCTCATTGATTGATACGTAACATTGCAAATAGATTGATTCCTACAGCCCCCGCAAATTTCCAAGATCCTGTTATTGTTTTTAACTCGAGACAATGCTGCAGAATTTGCTTGTACAATGATATTATACAAGAAAAATAAAGCATATCAAGCGAAGATATTCAAGTAAAATGTGCATTCAATACCCAAAATTGTTGTTTTGAAGCACTAATTGTGAAATACTATTCCAGAGATTTTTGTGGAACTCTTGCAGATTCCAACAATAAATAAACTGGCTACCTCTATAATTTCCCATCTACCGGTACAGATATCTACATACTACCTATCTTCTCTACAAAAGACTCTATTTTTCTTTCTAAAAAGCATACATCAGGATATAAACTACTACAGTAACTGTTAAACAAATATGAAAAATGCAAATAGAGAAAATCTACACGTACCGCGATGTCGACTTTTTCCGATTCTGAGGACTTGTTATAACACAAACACATTTAACATAACTGTGAACATTCACAAACTGTTTATTTTTATTATAATTTATTTTCTGTTTCAAAAACATTTTTCTAAAGTGTTATGAATTTAATTGAAAATTTTCATATGCTTTCTTTCAAATAGAAACAGGATAAGACTCAGAGCTTTTAACTTTTTCCAATGCATTCAATAGAAGAAACAGTAATCTTTTTTATTTATTTATGTTTTTTCATAAAATCAAGTATATGTATATCTTGATGTGTGAGGTAAACAAAAGAACATTTGAAGTACATTATTGGGATCTAGATAATTTCATATATTTTAAAGTTACTTTTATATGACTTACCTCTAAATATGTCTATTTGTAAACAAAAACAAGAACCTGACATGAGCTGTCTGTATCTTGTTTGTTAATCAACAAATGTGTTCAAATCATTGCTAATCAATAAGGGAAGGAATTGTAAACATTTAATTTTTTAAACATGATGAAAATCTTCATTAACTAAGTAAAATAACATTTTTAAAAATAATAATACAACGGGGTTTTTAAACTCACAAAGTTCCGTTTAATAAAAGAATTAAACTCAGTAGTCCTGGTCAAAACTCTCTTGATTTCATCAGAAACACTTACAAAACACCCTCAGGTTTTCATTTAATTGATTCATATTGAAATATATGTAAATGTTACTTTATGTGTGTTGTCATTATAGATACGATATAAACACAATACTGTGATGAAAACATGGTTAAAACATATGCATATATTGCACAAACGTGAATACAGTTGATACACGAGTGTGTGCACTCTTGATTGTGATCTACAATATATGAACATGTGATTTCTTGGTATTCCCCATAACTCAGCTTAATATAATGTATATGTAATATATTCCCACATCCTCCAAAGTTACACTCACTAAAATCTTTTATTTCTGATGAAAACCGCACTATTCCTGTTAAAAAATTCGACAAACCGCTACATGTCAATTTTGCATCATGATTAATATTTGTACTTGAAATAATTCATAGTTGCATAAATGCATACCTGAAAATCAGTCTTAAAAATGTAGAGGAAAGAATATTCGTTGAGTGTTGAATTTCATTTATATCTTTGTTAACAAATTTCAATGACGTAATTAAATTCCATATAAAATGTTTCTATGATTTTTTTTTTTCTGAAAAGATCCATGAAACCTTTTTAGATGAAAGATAAAGGAAATTTATTTCATCTCCTCTCATAATACAATTTCTGCCGTATATTAACTAAATTGAATTTCCAACGCACACTAGAAAAATGTCAAGTAAGATTCAACTATATAAATGTTACTAGTATTTGTTTTTGTTTATTTATTGATGAGCCGTATGGCTGTTGTTCAGTAAAGAATTATATAAAAATATTTTCACTGTGTCTGTTTTTTCTGCGTAGTTTTCAAACTAGATTTTACTAATACTCCTTTACCATTTTTAAATACATTTTCATTTTTTCCCTGCATTTTAATCGAGCTAGGTGCAAATAAAATTACGAGTTGTTAAGAAAATGAAATTCTATCGATATCTTACCAAGAAGATCTAGATATTCTATTACAGAAGAAGGAAATATAAGGACAAGACAAAAGTGACCAAAGAGAAATGGTAATTACACATACAACTCTAGACGTTTAAAATTTTTAAGAGTATCACCACCTCCAAGTCTGATAAGCAAGGAATTAAATAAGATACAGACAAGTTATTAATGCAAATTTTGTTAATTCAAAAAGTTTCCTATTATTTCAGATGTAAAGGAAATAATTCTAATACATGTATTATATCTTACAGCTTTTCTCTGATTATAATTCACATCCAATGGAGTAACATAAACAAGAAGTTTTGATGTACTTAAGATAAGATATCAACATAATATGAATTTAATATGAGTATTTGTCTTAGCTTCTTACTTTCTGAAGGCTTGGGCCGGTGGAAGGAGGAGTTCGGTCTCTGTTGGATGTACTTTAACTCCTCCTTCGTCAGTAGAGATCTTTCCTTCCTGCTCTTGTAGTGGGTCCGGGGTCTCTGTCGGTCCATTTCATCGTCTGCCTCATGCCCACTGAAGTGTGACCGGTCCTCGGTCATTTCAGAAATAGGGGAGGCTAATCTGGATCGATCTAGTCAGGAGAAAGGAGCACTGGCGTTAGATTTGTAAAATACGGTGTCTCACAGAAAATCAGATCACATTACAATTCATTTAGGAGAGATCATTGCAGAAAATCGTTTTAGCAGTATTATTTATATTCTGTTCATGCAATTTTACTTCTTTATCCATGCTTTTTTTTCTTAAATAAGATTTTTTTGTTGACCAATGCGTTTTTATTAAGGTACATGTATGCAAAAGCTAAAATATTTCAATAAATACAATGAACTGGGTTATGAACACAAATCACGTTAGATTAGTGTTAATAGGCATGTATATACATAAACATTTATATAGAAGCAAGTGCAAAATGTATTTTTAGAATTAAAAAAGATTTTCGCAAGAATGGTGCAAAGTGGTTATGCTCTGGAAATTATAACATCTCTGTAAACAAGGAAAGCAAGGTAAAACTATAAATTACAAAAATTGTCACATGTAATATAAATTACAAAGTACTTTGGTGCTCAGTATATCTAAAACAGAAAATTTAATTGATAGAATTTATTAACTAATCCGCTAGCTCAGTTTCTTTGGCGCTTAAACATTGAAATATAGTTATAATTAATATTTGTTAAAGTGACTCGTCTTAAACATTTTGAAATACTTGTATCATCTTAATATAAGACAAGTATTTTACGTCCAGCCCTTTGGGTCTATGTGATCACATGGATTTAAATCAAACATTTTTTCTTTGAGATTCATTCTGGAAAATTTTACATTTTTAGGTGCAAGTCATTGACTTGGGCTCATAAAAATGATAGTGAGATGTATTCTCGTCTTAAATTCGGTTATTTTAAGAAGTAATTCATTTTTGTACAGGTCTTCACAGCCAACTTTACTTTGTTGTTTTTTGGTGTAATGAGCTGCTATAGTTTTTATTTCATCATTACTATTCACATGCAGAAACCAATGAAATTGACCAAGTGCCAAAGGCGTTTAACCGAAAGTCTGTGTAAAAAGAAACTGAAACTGAACACAAACCAAATTCATCTTTATCCTGATGATTTATTTAACGTAAATGTTGAAAATGAAGAAACATGGTTAAAAAACACCCAGGAACAACATTTTTTCCTCATCAAAGAATGAAGGGGGAAATGGGAAATAAGTAGTACATGATGGTTAATGTAAAAATCCTTGTTAAGTTTCAAAGCAAAGACACGGAAAAAGGAAAACAACGAAGGAAAACAACAGGTGGCTATAAGCAGTGAATTACATGTCTCTATTTTTCCGTCACTTTCTTTGGGTAGATCTACCCTGATCAGTTTAGGGGCCCCTTTACGGGAGTCTGAGAGTTTCTTGAGGGCCGCTGTGGGGGTCTCAGACCGGGGACGTTCTGGGAGGTCATTTTGTACACTCCACTGTCTTTGCACTGCTGTTTCTATCTCAGGAATAAGGTTATCTTGATCTTCCTCCTCCTCTAGTCCCTTCAGTGGAGAAATACGGCCTGCCAAATTGGTGGTAAGTTATCTTATTTCATGCCAACTTATTCTTAATCACTTTTAATTCATGCAACACTTCATGCATCTATGACACAAATTCATGCGCTGTAAATAAATGGTGCATGCAAGTACAATGCTGTGACTGATTTCAATACTTTATTACGTATAACAATATTTAAACATATATTATATATCTAATCTTTAATTTATATACTTGAATACTGTAGTAATTTCTGCAAAGGGCATGGTTTGTACTAATTTTTTTTTACCCTTTTTCCTCTAGAAAGCACATTTTGTTTGTAATCCTTTGCTAGAAATATTAAATTTGTTTTTTTACAAAGACACCAGTACCTTGTCTTGACTGCAGTTCTCTCCTCACTTCATCCGGGACTTTGTCAATCTAATAACAACAGAAATAAAGTATGTGTATAAATATCTAATATCATTAAAATATAATTCCATTTCTTTATACAGTTTCTAGGTATTCGAGACTGAATACTTCAGTCATGTGAAATAACAACGCACATTCAACATAAGGCTCTACTTTCTATTGAAGATTTAACCACTGCTTATAAATGGAACACAATGAAATTAAAAAAAAGAAAAAAAGAACGATGTTCTTGTTGATTTCTTTCTGCAAATCAGTTTGTTTTTACCCTTTTAACAGGCTACTTACAGTAACTCTAAGACATATTTTCCGCATTTTTGTAAACCAAAAAATACTTCAACATTGCAGATATAACGAAACTACATCTAACTTCCAAACACATTACATTTCTCTGAAGAACATTCAAGCGAACTGATTTAATTGAAATCTTTGTATGCTCCCTACAGAAATCTTGCTAATCCATTCCACCAATATTTAAATAATTAGAAATCTGAAGAAAACCTGTAATTTAAAGGGAATGACAGAGTCCTTTCATAAATGTGTTCTGTGGAGTTTTCCCTATGTTTGCTATCGCGGTTACTCAGGTTGTTTAAATCACCACTTGTCAAAAGTCATTTGTTCAAACTGCCTGGCATCTTATCGCTGCCTTCCATTATGTTCTCTCTAAGAGGTTGGTAATTTGCAATCGTTATAATTAATTACTAGTACAATTCTATGTATTTTTTGTTGCTAAATAATTAATATTTTGTTTTGACGACTGTGCATGGGATTTAACTCAAATAGATAAAAGTTTATATTTCTTATATTCAAAGAAGGGAATTATTTTCTTTCAAAAATGCTGGCGAAAGACATTAAAAGGATGGAGTTTTATTTGCCAAATACGCAACAGTTTCACGTAATGTATATCAAATAAATTATTTTTCTTTAAGAATTCCAGAACATGTTCTAAAAAATAACCATATCAGGAAAAAAAATCCTTAAATTGGAAAATTTTCACTTTTTTACAAGAATAATTCTTTTTAAAGTTGACAAAAACAGTTACAGGTAAATTGAAAATCCTCGAATACATTTAAGCAGGTTAAGAAGAAACTTTAAGACAGAAGGACTATTAAAACACATCAATACCTCACTTAAAGATATTTAAAAGATTTTCTCAAGTTATGGACATACAAAGTTTATTTAATTTGGTTTCGTGATATTAATAATCATTCTTTTTTTCTAATTACAGGTTCTGGTATATGTAACCATGTTTTGTTTACAAAACACGGTTATGAGAAAATTCTGTTGTGTTCCTCCATAACCTTTCAGGTGACTTAAACAAAGAAACTTCATTCCGGTTTTAAAGGCAAAAAGGAACAAGCTCTTCAGTAAAACTTCTGCGTAAAATACTACAACAGAAGTATGCAAAAACTGGTGTATGCAAAACTGGACTGCTTAGAGGCAAGAGCTTTAAACTAGTCCTGTTAAAATTTTCTGTAAATTTTCCTACTAGCTACGGACTGGTATATCAATTTTGCATTGACATTTGATTGCAGAAAGATGAAGCCTTAGGGGTAAAACAAAAAATTCTAAACAAGATTCATTCTAACGAAGTAAATAATTTTTCAAAAGAAATAGTAATATATCAAAATAAATAGTAGTATTTTTAGCTTTAGTTTCTTTCTGAAAATCTGTAGATTTTTTATAGGGTAGGTATGCTGCCTTAATATAACAAACAAACAAAGGAAATAATGGAAAAATCATTTGAAGGTTTGTTACATTTACGGATCATCAACTCAACAAACTCTTTTTAACAAATATTGCTTAAAAGCATTTTTTGGGAAGGAAGGATCATTTTCAAAGGAAAGAAACAGCAAAATGTATCTACAGGTAACTCTCGATACCTCGAAGTCCGCGGGACCGAGGAAAAACTTCAAAGAGATCAAGAGTTCGAGTTTTTAAGAGTCCGGTATTTTCCGGTTCTGTTTGACAGGTTTTAAAATTAGTCTCACCGGATGTAATGATTTTATGCAGTGCTAACCTTTACACGTGGTTTTTATAAAACAACGATATGTTTTAGTATTTTAGATGAATACATGTATTTATTAAACTGAGTAAAGCAAAAAATGTACTTCGTCAGTTCATGTTTATTTATTTGTTCTTTATAATATGGATTTCATACTACGCATTTTACATTTTACAGCATCGTGTGGTACACATGCACCGTGACTTTTCCAAACATGTGCATTAATCTAAGTTCTGTAAGTATTTGCCCAGCAATAGTCGTCATACTGACATTGAGGCGTTTCTGAATTTTCCTATTTCGTTAAACTTTGACACTGATTCGAAATAAAAAATAAAAATAAAAATTAAATTTATTATTAATAAGAGTTTCGTCTTGAAATCTGCAATTACAATTTTTCGTATCAGTGACACTGCGTTTCTAAATAATCATAATAAAGTCAATGATAATTATTTTAATAGCATGTAGGCAACATAAGATTAAATATAATTCAATTATCACCTTGCAGCATAAGTGTCACCTGAATAAACATCCCGTTTCATGAGACCCACGTCTTCTGCCTGAGGTCATTACATGTCCAGGTAAAGTTGCTAATTATGTAGCATTGTATACCGCAACTTCGAGGTATAAAGGGTAAATTTCAACAGAATACGCATAGCGGGACTGCATTTTGACTTCGAGGGATCAAGGGTTTCGAGAGATCAAGAGTTCGAGAAATCAAGAGTAAATTTGCTTAGTTATATAGGGGGAAAATTCGGGACCGGAGACTCACTACGAGCGATCAAGAACTTCGAGAGATCGAAGTTCGAGCCATCAAGAGTTACCTGTACTTAAAAATGATATGAAGTCAACAGAGAAGGCATCAGACCCACCTCTAATGGGACCTCCAACCTGCTCCCTGGAGTGGGTGTAGTGGGCACCTGAAGATACCCGTTATTTTCTGGTGGTAGAGGTGTCGCCCCTCTAGAAATTGGCATGGGAGGGGGTTTAACTATCCTGGGTCCTGGTGTTCCAGCAGCCCCTCGTCTGATCTGTGGAAGATCCAGTTTGGTTCCCATTAAACTTGTTCCGCTGACACCCGTTTCTCGGGGATTCCAAAGCTCATCTTGAAAGCTGTCCAAGTCGGGCTGATCAAACTCTACTAAAGGATAGTCCTCCTTTAACTCTTGTACGGGGACTTCCTCTTTCTTCTCATCTTGTAGAGGTTTCTTATTCAATTGTTGCTAAAAATCAGTAGAAGTTCATTCATAAAAAAACATCAACATATTTCGATATTCTGATGCTAACATATACTTAAATAAAAGAAAAGTGTGGCTTGTATTTGAAAAAGTTTTGTGTTAAGAAATTAGTATCTACTCTTACTAATTACAGTATCATAATAGGCATATTATTTCTATTTTTTTTATCTTAGGAAAATGCTGAGTAAGTATTCAATAGGATAAACATGTATATAGACAGAATTTTAGATAGGGGATTGGGTTACTTCTTAAGAGTTTGGAAAGAAAAAGAAATTTGTGAAGCATTGTATTAGTATTAAAATTTGCTTTTAGGGTTAAGAAATATATTCATTTTTCAAGAGATTTTCAGCTGAAAATAAAAGAACTATTCATTACTGAAAGGTTAAATGACTGAGTAAGCAGGTTTAATTTTCTATACTTCTGTCTATATTTTTCCATTTACCAAATGACACCTTTTATTGTCTAAACCTGCATGTAGAAACAAGTAATTATCCAATAAATACACATAAAAACACATAAGGATATAAATTATTCAAATTAATCCAATTTCTCTTAAATAAATTTCAGTTTACCCATCATATTCCCGTTCCAAGTAATCATTTGAATTATGTAGAATAATCATTATTTCCAGATTATGTTTATACCACATTATCCAATAAAGCTAATCTCAACTTGATATCAATCCTTCATTCAGATACATACCGAGAGCTGTGGGGCCACACCATACGGATGTTCCTTCTTCAACTCTTCTAGGCGCCTCTGTTCTGCTATCAGTTCAGCACGAGTTGGTCTATTTCCCCGTTTTGGGAATTTTCTTTCCTTTAACATTTGTTTTTTCACCCTTTCTAATCGTCTTTCTTCCTCTGCCTGCTTGCGAGCAAGCTCTTCCTATTTAAATCAAATTAAATTTTTTTGTTTTTAGTTTTATCACATGTCATAACTTTTAATTATTTACAAGATACTAATAAAGCATAATTTGTTGGAATACAGAACAATAAATTATTATCTTCAATCAATTTCTATTCTCTATGATTTATAAAATATATACATGTATCATAAAAATGACATTAGTTAAATTCATTCATTCTTTCATTATAACAACTGACAATTCTTTTCTCTTTATTTTTCCCATCCCATCAACAAACATATGTTGAAATATTCTGGATAAAAAGATTTTCCTACCTACCTACCGACCCAATAATTTTACCATGAGCTGGGAGAGGGCAAACAAATATTATTTGATGGTCAAAACAATAATCCGTAGCTTGTATATCTGACATACAGGGGTAAGTAGTTGATCCTCAGGCTTGGCGTGCGTGTGGTCGGACCTGGCTGGGGATGGGTCTGTCTTCCTCGTCGGTTTGGCTTTCTTCACCACTGGCTTGGCACTCTTCATCAGACCCTTAACGTCCAGTTTGATGTTATCCAGTCTGTACTTGTTCCTGCGATCGGGAATCGGCTCCTCCTCCTCAGAGGAATCGGTTTTTGTTTCTACCTGCTGTTGCTGAGCCATCAAATCTGTTGCTTCTACTGTAAAGGATTAACGCCAATAACGTTTTACAAAAACATAATGTATAGGGACAAAATAATATTACATTCAATAATGTGGAGCGACCAGTTCATATTTATCTGATGACAAAAAGTTATTTTGCATATACTTCAAGGTATTAAAGGACAATTTACCAATATGAGCATTATTAAGTGAAAGAAAAATTCTAAAGCTTGTATAACTTCATAAAATACGTAAAATTGTTAAATGATATGTTCAGATTTCCTTATAACAGAAATATATATGCATTCTATTTAGAAATTTGGTGCATAGACCTCGAAAAACTAATGATTTAAATATATTCAAGTGCTAAAAATACATTGTACATATTTACAAAGGACAAAGACAAATTTATAAAACATTGTCAGGCAATATTTTCAGACACCATTTTTTGCACGCAATAAAGTAAAACGTGCAAGGAATATATATAAACCTTATACCCAGACATCAAGACAGTGATTATAGAGAAGAACAGTTAGTAGTTTATACAGCTCCTTTTTTACCATGATAGCAGATTTTTAAAAAAAATACAGTTGATACAGTTGATTTTTCAAACAATTCTAGATCATTGATTTGTTGATTATTAAAAGCAAGTATAATACCCAGCCTCATCAATGTAGTACTTCTTGGAAAGAGTGAAAATTAAGTTAACAAAAAACGCATGGTCATGCAAATACAAGAGTTTTAACTACCCTGATAATATAAACTCAGAACAAAAGAATAATCAGTAACGTAATGTTTCATGAAGTTGTGTAATATCTAGATAATTTAACTTCCACAGATTTCTCCTCAGAAAGGAAATCAATTTCTTGAGCTAGCTTCCAGCTATATTTCAGAATGAATTGCACTTTTATGAAATATGTTCTGCCCTTGGATTACTAAAATTTATACCCATGACAAAAATTGAAAGACACACAAACATTTTCCCTAGAGATTTATTTTCAGAGCAGTTAGTAATCAGTAAGGAAAGTATTTAACAAAGGAAAATCAAAGGTAAATGGTTGTGTTTTTGACTTCAGAGGCACAGAATGTACTTAACAAAGAGAAGGTAAAGGGTAGTGTTTTTGATTTTCAAAGGTACAGAAGACAGTGTTTTTGAAACTCAAAGGAAAATGAAAGGAGGGGTATTTTGGAGGTATGTTACATGTCTTCTCCTCAGGTTTTTGCTGCTTCACTACTTTTGATTTCCTTGGGGTGTCTTTTTTGGATTTGGACTTCTTGATTCGGTGTGATTTTTTTATCATGAGATGTTTCTGATACTGACTGGTCTTCATATGTTTGACTTTGTGTAACTCCATCAACTGTGTCTGCAGAATCCAGTGTATTTGTGATACATGTATCACCAAGATCTGCAGGTTTTAGTCCTGAAGAAGTGATCTTAACTGTTACTAATTTTACAAAAATAATATTAATTCTGAGAACGCTTTAATCATAAAATAAATTCCTCTCTTAAGATAATGTTTTAATACAGTATATGTAACAATATTATTGAAGTTTTATCAATGATGCATGAACACTAACATTTGTTTTGTTTGTCATAAAAACCATGGAAATACTTGCAAAACAAACAAACAAAAAAACTTGATTAATGCACAATATGCATAATATTTGCTGCATAGCATATATTTGAAAGACTGTTTTAAACACCTTTAAATTCTTTAAGAAATATGACATTTATTTTGGAATTACATAATATTTCTAGGAACACTAACCTGGCACTCTACAATACATGTCTCGTACTAGTATTTTTATATTCTTGAACAAATACATTATACAGAACATATATAAAAGGTACATGATAAAAATAGTCTCCAACACTGATCTACCAAACATACTAGTATCTGAACAAATTTTAGAAGGTCAGTACAAATTTACTTGACATTCAAAAAAATTTTTAAAAGGCAGTTTTCCACTTGTAAAACGTTGCTATGATAAATTCTATCATCATCAACTAACAAATCTATTCTCTTTTATTTCCTCGTTTTTGAATTTTACTAAATTTGCTCAGACCTTCTAAATCAAAAGATTTTCCTGGCTTGTGATATTTACTGTGCTTAAAACCAGTAATTGTTTGAATTATCCTTTACCAGTGTGTACTACAATCAACTCATATCAAGGGTGTAAATATAGTAAGATATATTTCAAGATATATTTCAAGTTTAGGCAAACTTATTGTAGAATTTAATATTTTGTGTTGTTTTTTAACTGAAACGTTTTGTTTAAAACCCCTGGTGATGAGTTGATGCTGATCCCAAACTTTTCCCCTTTACAACATTGTGCTATAGTAGCAGGACAACCACATAATTCTAAACTTTACCTCCTAATGGGAAATTGAGGGTGGAATTGCTACGAAATCTAGAAATTTGGACATCTTCACTCCATTGAGAGGACCACTCAGACACCAGTGTATCAGGGGTGGGGATTCTCTCAAATGTGGGAGTGGACAGACCCTTGTGGTCCATGTGGCTAGTACTACCCCTGTGTGAGGCGGGGGTGGGGAACCTTTCAAGTGTAGGTGTAGGCCCTCCTTTAAGGTCCACATGGACTGAGCTACCCCTATGTGAGGAGAGAGATGGAGTGGAAATGGCAGGTTCTAGGGGTAGAGTATCTGGGGGGTTTTGTTTTTGGATTTTCTGATCTGGGTAGGATAGAGACTCAAGCTCTTTAGCGGGTTTTTTGACAGGGATAGGGGGATACTTTGATGTATATTCTAACTCATTGGGAGGAAGATGTCCAAAGGGATCCTCTATAATTGTAATGAAGAAAAAATAATAATTAATTTTACATGATGAAATCAATGAATACACAGAATTTTCAAAGGAATGTGATGAAAATCCTTTTTATGATTACAAAATATAATTGCAAACAAATGTAAAAATAATTTTATTGCGTAAAACATTTATACAAGCTGTTAATGCATCAAGCTTTAAAAATTAAGTCTTTAAACTAGATATTGAAATTTTGTTTAAAGGCTTTAACAAAATCAAAAGCAATTCAAATATCAAATACTGGAAGTTAGTCAAGTTGTTCACCATGCTTATTATCACATCAAACTTACCTTCTGGGACTTCTTTGAGCACAAAATTATCATCCAGTGGCTTCTGTGGAGGTGCTTCTACTTCCTATATATAAAAAATTAAACAAAAAAAATGTTACAATTCAACTACTACTATCAAATTTTTATGGTTAAAGTTCACCCTATCAAGAAATTCGTCCAGAATATGGTTTATAATGCCCTCACTAAGGAGTCCGATGGAATATAGTAATGGGGGAGGGGTGAGAAGGTGTGTTTGTGTGAGTTAGTTTGTCTTTGTACAAAGCTGGTGTTGTTAATTGTGTTAGAATCGATGTTGAATAGTACTGCCTTGATGTATAGAAATCAATGAAGTGGTCTTTTACGAGAGATGTCCTGATTTGCAGTGCCTTGATCCTTTTTTGGCAGACAGAAACCATTAAAAACATTATAAATACTGTGCATCAAATAAAACCTGTAAAAGCTCTATTTTTAGTTGTGGTTTTCATTATTCTCATGGTATATTTGTGTTTTTGGTAAAATCTTAAATTTCACATTTGAAGTATCATTATTCATCTTCAACAAGGAAATCCAATCCCCATGAACTACAGTGTAGTAGGTTTCCTAAAACCACAAAAATTTTACAATATGTACCCCCACAGTAGCACAAGTTTTTACTGTAATAAAATTTAAACCCTTTATGATAAAACATTTCTTTGGTACATTAGTTTTCAAACAGACCATTTAAGTTTACTGTTGTGGTGAAGAAAACATGCATTTAAAATGAATAAAGAACTGTGTGCACTTATAGACATGCTCTCTAGCTATAAATGCTCTAAAGAATCGTGAGCTGAGAATCCAGACTGATAAACAGATTTCTGGAATATTGTCCAATCTTAGATATCTTTTAATTGTTAGTCTTTCTAGGTATTTTGTGTTCAAATTTTAAAACACTGTGCTCGATGTGATTTTTCTTTACCTTTACACATATCTGAAAGAAATTTCACAGATACTTTAATTAAATTTTCAAAAGAAAATTACTGAAAATTACTAAAATTCAATACACACACATTGTCAAATAGTTTGTTGCATAAATATATCATTTTATTTTCTGGATGTATTTTTGCTTATATCATACACAGGGAGGTCAGAAGCTTCATGTGATTTTTTTTTTCATTTCGACTTTACAAATGTTGAAAGCCTGGAATCTGCAACTTCATTGTAAAATACAGAACCACTATCATTTTCAACAGTTTTAAAGGTAGTAGCTGTTGCAATGGCTCAATTCATTGTAATATTGAGAAAAAAATTGTTTTTGTTTATTTGTTTATTTTTCATGACCTAAACATCTAAGAAAATTGCACCAGTGAATAGAAAAGCCAGTATTTTCAGTCAGAAATAAATAAATCAAGAAATTATAGACTTCTCCCATCAATCAATACAAACCTCCACTATTTCCTCTACCTCTGGGGTGGCTGGGTGGGAGGGAGGGGTGGGGATGGGGGAGGGGCCAGGGGAGTTACCAAACATAGGAAAGTCAAATTTTGGCATGTCATCTCCCCCTGACTCCTGGTCTGAGGCGTGAGGTGTGACATCCCCATCTAAAACACTGACTGCCTTTCTCCTCCTTCTTCTCCCACCTAAAACACAAGACAATGTTACAACACTTACAGAAAAAACTAAATTAATGAAGACTGCCTTCTGAAATCTACACAGATATATTTAAAAACATCATATAAATAAATAATAATCATGTGTTACAGATACAGTATATGCTTTTAATGTTTCAAGAAATTCATATATTGGTTACAGTTTTTACCTATATTTCAATGTTTTATTTACTTTGAATTTTGTAAAATGCAGTAAAACTATAAATAAATGCATTGAAGATATAAAAAGCAACATTTACATTGTGTTTCTAAAATGATTAACATTCAAAATATTATAAGATTCTGTTTAACTTTTAAACATGAAATTTGAAAAATTGAAAAGCGAGTAATTATGAAGAATTCTGCATATTTTAAAGATAAAGAACATGAAAGCTGTATTTGAATTAATTTTTAATTTTTTACTGGCATCATTAAACTTAACTGCTAATTACCAATAAACAACCCACAGCTGTACTAAGGGTGCAGAATAGCAGTGTAAACCAACAATTTATTTTGAATGACTATTGATTACCAATCACCATTACTATAATCTGTGGTTCTCTAAAATAACTACCTGAAAATGCAGAAATAATTGTGCGTATAACATCTTTTTTTTTAAGAAAGGTGTAGAAATTTTGTATGTGCACATAAATACTTGTAAAAAAAAACTGCAAAGAGAGGAGAAAAATCAATGGAAAGAGTGCATCAATATAAGAATAAGGATAAATTAAACAGAGGGGAGGGTGCCAGGTTTCTTACTCCTCATCTGTGCTATAAATGTCATTTTCCTTCGTAAATAACGTTCCTTAGATGTTCTTGCTTCTCTGAAATCTTCCTCAGCTACAAGGGGTGCACACATACAGAAATTATCCATGCAAATCATGCAATTGTTTACCGAGATATATACATAATGTTACTATAATGAGACATGCAATATATTTATACAGGTGTAATTCTACCTATTGAAGATCTAATAAACTGAGTTACAAGTATTATCTTAAATTCATTTATCTATAAAACTTTTGGTATTAAGATATTGATGACTATAAATAATCAAGTAGCAATAATTTACAAAAGTGATTGTTTAAAAACATGAACAAGTACATGTCACTTTGTTGTTCCCAAGGAAAAAATCCTTTACAATCAAATATGAAATGCTTTTTTTAGTATGAGAACATTAATTGCAGCTGTTGTAAAAAAAAAATGCAAAATCCATGCATTTGGGTTAGGTATTTTTTTCTGCAATATCGACAGGAGCACATTCGATTACATGCATTTATTCTATAAATAATCATATCACATTAAATGTTGTATTATCAATATGTATTAATATGTATGTCAATTAGGACTGAGTATTGGCCAGAGATTTTGTATTGCGATATATTGCGATATTTTTAACTGTATTGCAATATGTATAGTAATATTTTCAATGAAAATTACAATGGCATTTTCTTATTATATTAACTTTAATTTACATGCAAAATGTATAAAACTATGAAAAGTTACCAAATGGGAAAAAAATCGTGTTGATGTTACATGTATGCTCTGAGATACATAATTCCACAAAACAGCTTCTGTCTTACTGTTTGGCTTAATAACATTTTTATATTTAATGATAAAATTCTTTAGTCTAAGCATTTTGCAGATATATCAATATTACAAAAACGTACTGCAATACGTTATTTTTTGTCACTATATTGCAATATACCAAAATATTGATATTTTTGCCCAGCCCTAAATGCTAATGTACGTTTATTGATAGATAAGACATCTATATGGTTAAATTTTGATAAATGACCATGGTTTTAACTAGAAATAAATTATATGATATTTAATACTTGAACGTCTACATAAAAATGAAATTACAGTTCTCAGTCCTGAGTGCATCTGTTTCATGACAGGGCATTATTTCTTTTCATTACAATTTCAATCAAATAAAAATTTGATAATGTGATACAAATCTTGGGGGAAAAAATCAGCCTTCATTTTCTAAGACTTTTGCACTTAATTTTCAATAATGGTAGCCTTTTGAATGAACATGGACTTGGACAGCCATTGCACATATTAGATACTTTCTTCTCAAAAATGAAAAATATGCACGCTTTAATATCTACAAAAATATCTTTAAAAAATATGCATATATAAATATCTACAAAAATATGCATTCATAAATAATATTTCTGAAGAAGAAATTCTCATTTTTATAGAAAATTCTGGAAAATGAAAAATTTTAACCATTGATGAAAGGGGTAAAATAACCTAAAATAAATCCTCCTGTCTTCATCTATTTTAAGGAAATTAACCTGAGAACTGTAATTTCAATGTTACTTAATTAGCCTAAATTTATAAATATACACTATAACTCAGATCATGCCTGTTTTTCAGTACTTATCCATACTGGTTCTGTTTTACCTCTTCTGTTGATTTCCTCCATCGTAAGATTCAATCGTTGTCGAAGTTCGTACTTGTCTATTTCCGAGTCCAGTGTCAAGTCTATCATGGACCGACTCCAGGGGCTATCAAGAGGGGACTGGTAAATCTCAGTTGGGGCCAAAGAAAGGGAAGACTCAGATCCACTTTCCTGTTACAATTAGGACATAAAACTATATGTCTAGAAAACCATGTATTTAAAAACCTACATGTTAAATAAGAAACCCCTTTATATTTAATAATTTTATTTATCTGTAACTTCCATTAAATAAAGAAAGGTAATAAATAAAGTATATTTCGCTTGATTTTAGAGCCAAAATTGGAGAGAAAAAAAATGTAACACCTTTTTGTTCTAAAATTAGACAAAAATATTCTGCCTTTTTACCACTATTATATATCTGCCATTTAAGGACAGGTTTAGCTGGTCCCCCTTTGCTTGCTTCTATGCTACATTAAACTACCATTCATAACAGCCATGAACATGTGTAGATAAATGTTGATTTTACCTCGTCACTTTCAGAAGATTCCTCATGATCCATTTTCCCCTCCAGAAAATCTTTGGAGAAATCAATAAAGTCAAAGGGCACCTGAAGTGTTAAATAAAAACTGTATGTACTTTTGTAATCTTGATTTTAATACTAAAAGCATGAAATGAAAAAGAATTTTCAAAAAAGTACAATTTTTTATTAATACCAAGTAATTTTCCAGTGTCACTGGTTCAGGAAGATAAACTCCACCTTCATAAATCACAGATGGGTCTTCTATAATGGCCGATTCTGTAATACATCACAGAACAATTATAAGCTCAGAAGTAACAGAGTTAGTGGTGTGATGATCTGTATGAGGCCACTATATTTAAAAGTATTGTTTATTTAAACAATAAAATGCTTTCTTTGTTTGTTATTAATGGAATTAACGGAAGCAGCTGTTGCAGAAAAAATACATAACCCGCGTAAGCGGGTTATGTAAATTTTTTCTGCAATAGCTGTGACCATTAATTCCAGTAATAACAAACAAAGAAAGACATTTTATTGTTTATATTTATATCTGTTTAAATAATCATTTAAAGTAGGATTAAAAAGATTAATTATGTATTAATGATGCGAACGTCTTTATACGTTTCATTGATGGAACAGCCACTGATCAAGAAATCTGTACAGGTGACATGCCGACTGTAGTTCATGCAGTGATGAACGCAATGGCTTTTCTTACGAAATAAAGGAGAAAAAATATTCAGCGTATGTAAATATATAAGAATGTCTTAAAAGTTAAAAAAAAAATTTAAGATGTCTTTTGCAAAACCTTTATCTATTTCTTCTTCCTCTTCAGTGACAGATAAATGTGGACAAACTGAAAAACCAAATTTTAAAACTTAAGGGGAAAAAAAAACAATAATAGAAAAATGTGACAATAGAAGAACACTTAATAAAATTGTTTCTTATCAGTATTGGAATGTAGGAAAATAAATGACAATTTTTTTTTAAAATATGCAATTTTAAAATATACAAAAATATTTCGAAAAAAAATGACAAAATTTGCTGCTTAAAATACATGTATCAAAATCAACTTTCATGAAAGTTTCACCTTTTGTATGGTCGATACTGAAGATATGGTTCTTGTATCCTATAATTAGATCGCCCTTGTTGTTAAGGAAGCAGGCAGCTGACAAGGATCTGTCTAGGAGGGAGGAACTACTTCCCTCTTCCTCCTCCTCTTCCACCTTCTCCTTCCTTCCTTGTTCATCCACCTTCATCTTCTTCCTTCCTGGTTCCTCCTGTATGATGTTCTCGTCAATTTCCAGTTTGTCCATGAAGATTTCTGTCAGCAAGTGCTTGTTTTCATCCCAGATCCTGAGCACCCCATTCAAACTGTAATATTGAATGAAACTTTACAGTCAAGTTACTTCTCAAAATGTTGACAATATTTAAAATTGGGCTAGATTATTTTAACCTAAATGTGTGAAAGATTTATTACAAAAAAATATGTATGCAAATTTGTCAGAAATATTTTTTCCTCATGCTGAACATGACATGCAAAGTTTGCCTAAATGGAGATAAATTTTGAAAATTTCAAGGTCATTTTAGTCATATTAGACATCAGTAAAATGTTTTAACATTATAGTGAGTACCTGGCAGAGCAGAAGATTCTCATGGAAGCTGAAGAGTCAATGGCGACCACTTCAGCATGGTGCTCAGGTCTCTTCTTCTTCACAACACTATCCTTATTTGGTTCAACTGTTGTTATGTTAAAACAAATGGAATATCAAAAACTTTCATATACATGTAGCTCTGAACTTGTGCTGTAGAAACACATTTATATCTCAGTTTGCTTCAACAATTATATTCATTTAAAGCCATATGTACTAAAATTTTGAAATACAGAGCTTTTGCTGTAGTAATTGCATATCAAGTAATTATGCATTTTGGATATATGACTTGCACTTGAATCATACATGACATAAAGATATAAGAAACACAAACTTTTAGCTCTGAACAATCCCCAGTCCTCTGCTGGTTCCAGTAGGTTAAAGTTCACACAGCCATTTAGGTGTCCCGTCATAAATAAGTCACCCTGAAAATCAAGACATACAACTGGAATATCAAAGAAAAACACTCATTTATATCTTATTACCGAGGTTTTTTTGTCACGATTATCCTCATCCTAATTGAAAGTAATTCAATCTTGGCAAATGCATCAGAGGATTGAGAGGAACCATTATTAAAAGGTAGAAAATGGACTGATATTGAAGTGAAATTAATTGTCTGCTGATTAATGCATTTTACTCAAAGTCCCACAATTTCAAGCTAGTGAGAAATAAAATACATGTACATTATTGAAGAGTAATATTTTGTGTCTGTCTCTGAATATCTATTGTATACAAGGTTAATATGTTAACACCGAGCTATTTTGCCCTTTCACACTTGCAAACAAATTTGCTCCATTTTAAAATTCTGTCACAGTTGTTATCCTCTTATGAGCAGGGCAAAAAGGGTGAAAATAAAATGATGGCTAGAATTTCCCTGCATGTTTACAGATTTTTTTTTAAGAAAATGAGTGCATAAATTTTCCTGTATAAGAATTTTTTCTTCTTTGTGTGTGTTGGGGTAATTTCAATACAAAAACAAATGTACCAGTTTATGTCAAAGTAAAGCATTTTAAAACATACCAGTCTGGCATAGCAAGTAATATCCAGTGAGCAGTACAGCTCGTGCTTCAGCTCAAGCTTGGGCAAGCTCCAGATCTGTATCAGGCCAAGCTCCTTCAGGTAACACAGGGTGATAAGTGCATTGTGGGATATGTCATGTCTCATTTCCTGTATCTGTAATGTAGATTGATCCCAGTTAGTAAAACTGAAGGTAATCTCCAAACAATGCCACACATGTATGTCTTTTGAAACACATGATATTGTCACCATACACTCTCTTTGAATTCACTTAACATTTTTTAAAAAATATTACCCGATCAAAAATAATGACTTAAAGATACATTATACAAAATTTGATACAAAGAATGTAATTTGACTGATTCTGAATGAAAATGGAATAAATAAAGAATCCCTGAACTGTAAGGAATCATTACAGGTAGTTTCCTTCATACTGAAATATAGCACTTTGTATCTCTTATACATACAGTAAAAATACACTAAAACGAAATGCTAGGGATGAAAATTTGTTTTTGTTACAGGTATGATTATTTAATCTTTTTATCTGTGAAGTGTAAAAAATATTTTAAAGTCATTGGGGTAGAAAGTCACTTTGCTGTAAACATCAGTTCTTTCTTCACGAGCCTGATCCTTATTTAGCACTGTAGCATGTTTAACTGTACCATATACATTTTTTTCATGACAAAATCCTGTGTAATTTATCCTTGTTACTTACAGCGTCCTTTGAAGCTTTGAATTCCATGTATTTCTTCCCTTTTGTGACTGGATCCATGAACAAAATTCTGCCATCCTAGAGATACAGAATTTACACAACCATTAAAAACAACTGTCTGACAGACTCCCTCTTCTGAGAGCTAATACTCTTAGAAGTGAAATTAACTGCTTATTTATCATAAAAGCTGAAAAAAATATGCATTTATTTACTTATTTGTAACTGGTGATAAAGCCACTTTCTAAAGATCCTTACTCAAAAGTCAGGCTCAAAATTACTACAGAATACATTTCAAAATGAATTTAATCTGCCTGAAAATTTAAGCATCTGATTAGAAAAAAGCCTTTAGTTAAAAACTTCTTTATTAGGTTACATGTATGTGATATTGATTGTATTTAGCACAGAGAATAGCAGAATGGTAGAATGACCTCTAGTCCCATCAGTAAATAGGTCTCCTCCAGATCCATGTTCTGTATGGGGCAGCAGAACCCCTCCTCCGTCCACATGGTGGCTGTGGAGGTCAGGATACACAGAGAGTGACAGGCGGACAGAGTCTCATTACCCAGACCATTCTCCGTGGCCCGGTGGGAGGGGCCACCTTGTAATGAGGATGACCTGTAGAGATAATGATTGGAAAGGTCGACAACAACTTGAAGATAAACTTAGATGTTATATATTTAGTGTAAATTTTAGTCTATATTTCTATGAATTAAATTTAATACAAACATAGATTAAACTGTATGTTTACTTTTAAGTTATAAAATAATTGTCCACATGTGTCTTGATTTATATGTCATTGGCATCATTGCAACTATTGAAAAATAAATTTAAGCATCAAAATGCTTTCTCCTTGAACTAAGGCTGTGTAAGTGACTTAAAATCACGCTACAGTATTATCTAAATCCTTCTTGCATTAGCGGTAAGTGACTTACAATTGTAACAACCTCCTAAAGGATTACTGTAGAAGTACTTTTTTCCGCGTGGTATTGATTTACGCTATGTACGAGGTCACAAATTTTCCGCGGAAATTTGTCCAAGCGTAAATGTAAGGCATATAGTGACAATCTAGAAAATCCGCGCAATTTTCTACCCAAGGATTAAACATAAATTGAGATTTCGCAGAATTATGATCCCATGGAAAAAAGTATGTCTACAGTATCTGAATCCTTCTTCTGTTAGCTGTAGGTGACTAACCAGCCTTGAAAAGGATGATCAAAATCTTCTTTCTTTGGCTGTACATAACCTACCAACCATCCAACAGGATTATCTGAATCCCTCTTGACTTATATGTAGGTGACTTACCAGCCTCCTAAAGGATTATCTGAATCCTTTTTGCCTTTGTTGGAGAGATAAGGAACCTGCAAGTCATGGACATTCCAAGTCATCACTCGGCAACTGGGGTCAGTTCTAAAAGAAATACTTTCACCTTGTAACAAAATTTTTTTTCATTTACAAAGATATTAGATAAAGTTTAAATTTTCAAATTTTGACAGTTCAGTTGAGAGGCCCAATACTTCTTACTTGGTGGTATAAACCCAGATCTCCATGGTGGTGATGAGAACAAACACCATGTTGTACTCTCTGCTGTAGCAGACACTCAGCACCCTCTGGAGGGGAGAAATATCAGGGGGAGGTAACACCGTTGTCAGGTTCTTCTGACTCTTACGGGAAAACAGACGCATGCTGAAATGAAAATGACAGAAATCATGAGAAATTTTTCAGTCCTATTTTTACAATGAAATAATATCAAGCATGCTTAATTTTTATATCTGTGAGGTCTTAAAAGCCTCACAAATCTTTTGGGTCCTATTGATACAGGTAGGTAGCTTACAAGCCTCTTTACATTTTGTCTCTGTGAGAACAAGCGGTACCTGCTATCGTGTCCCTCTGCAACAACGCGGGTCGTTTTATTTTCACAAGTGGCAAGAGAAAGGCGGCAAATTTGGCTTCTAGCAACAGCGAAGAAATCGTAGAACTGATTAAGATTCCAAAGGGTGATGTTCCTGACTGTGGCACAGTACATCAGACAGTCATCTGTCATCCCCATCCATAGGAGGCCATCAGTGGAGATCACAACGCTGGAAAATAATGACAGATATATGTGGAGTGACCTATCTCCTTACCCATTTAATATTTCCATTACACTCAGTGGCCCATCTCCTTATTACCTGTATATTTCCATTATACTGAGTGACCTATCTCCTTACCTGTATAATATCTCCATGGTGTTCAGTGACCACATTCTGACTGACCCGTCCAGTGAGGCGGTCACTATGATGGATGGCTTGACTGGGTGTACCACTAAACTGGTGACTGCCCTCGAGTGACCGCGGAATGTGTGAACCAGTCCACCTCTCAGACTCCACATTTTCACTAAAGATACAATCAAATTCCATGAAATTATTCTATTTCCACCCTGTCAATTAATAATGTGACCTGTATGATGGCATACTGTCAACTCTTACCCTCTGTATCAATAGAACATGTCAGAAGTGTTTTGGAGAACTGTGAGTAGATACATCCAGTTATGGACATACTGTGAGCCCTGTGAATAAACAAACATGTCAGACTAATACATAAACACTGACATTATTTTTGGTGTTTCTGCTTTTGCTATCTCTAAGAGAAGGGTTTCTGATATGCTACCTTTTAATCCCTTGTCAAATGTAATTTTTTTTTTTATAAACACACCTGGTCGATCAATCAGCAATTGTTTTTTGTAAATGACAATATCTGAGTTCAGGATACATCTTGAATCTTTAATCTCGGGATCAAAAAACGCAAGTTAACAACGATCTGTAAGATAACATGCAATTCTATAAATAGCATAGAACTTCTATATACGTGATTAAGAATCTATATTGAAGCTGGTACTATAAATAATAAATAAACATTACTCATTCTTCTTAATTATTCTTTAAAAAACTATATTTTTTTTTCAAAGTTTCTGTCAATGACGCAATCTGTGTGTATCTGGTAGATTCAAGATCACGTGACAAAAACAGTCCCGTCTTTTGACTTCACCATATGCCAAGGGCTCATAAGGAGAGTAGCGTATCAAAAAACCTTGACTAGCGAATATGATCTCTATCCTGCTCAATTTTTATTAGAACAAGAAAAATCATTCCAAGTTTTAAGTCAATTTTATATCCAAAACTACATACATTACTCTGAAATTATGATTTTTCCATGGGAGTTTGTAACCTTACTTGAGGAATTTGAAGAGTAGCTGCCCTTTGAGATCGTAAGCGAACAGGTCTGTGTCTGAGCAGCAGTAGAGGTGTTGTAGGGTAAAATCTAGATCCACCCGCTTAACCCAGCTCCCTCCCACATCCTTCAGGTCACGACTGGAATCAACATTTAAAATAATGTAGTACTGATAAGAAAAGGTCAACATAAATATTCAATTATTGAAATGAAAGAGTTACTTAGAGGAAATGCAGCTGTATGGCAGTTTGTATCTATTATTGCTAAAGAATATAATTATAAAACAAGAGGCCCAGGGGCCACAGCGCTCACCTGAGCACATCAGGCTTGAATTTACTCCACCCCCCCCTCCAGGCGTTCATCATTTGAACAAACTAGAATCTACACTACCTGAGGATGATTCCATATAAATATCACTAATCATAGCTTTGAGGTACTTGAAAAGAAGATTTTAAAAGGTTTCCCTATATATCCCTGTGTAAAACTTTTTACAAAGAAATAATATCATTTCCTGGCCCAGTGCTTTTTTAATTTTTCCTATATATATATATAAAACTTGGGAGGTCTTATAAACAAACTAACAAATCTTCCACATGAGTTTCATCTTTCCTGGTCCAGTGGTTCTGGAGAAGAAGATTTTTAAAGATTTTTCCTATATATTCCTATGTAAAACTTGGGTACGGCCATTTTGGCCCCACCTTTGCCCCGGGGGTCATGATTTGAACAACCTCTACCTGAGGATGTCCACATGTTTTGTTTTCAGTGGGTCAAGTGGCATATATTCCTAGAAAACTTGGCGGCAAATTTGGCTTCATGATTTGAACAAACTTGAATCCACACTACCTGAGGATGAATGATCTTTCCTGGCCCATGGTACTGGAGAAGAAGATTTTTAAAGATTTTTCCTATATATTCCTACTGTGGCACAGTTTGCCCCGGGGGTCATGATTTGAACAAACTTGAATCTGCTCTACCTGAGGATGATTCCACATGAGTTTCATTTTTCCTGGCCCAGTGGTTCTGATTTTTCCTATATATTCCTATGAAAACTTGGCCATTTTGGCCCCACCCTTGCCCCGGGGGTCATGATTTGAACAAACTTGAATCTACACTACCTGAGGATGCTTCCACATGAGTTTCATCTTTCCTGGCCCAGTGGTACTGGAGAAGAAGATTTTTAAAGATTTTTCCTATATATTCCTTTTTATTTGTGACCTTTGCCCTTTTTTCAAACTTGAATCCACACTACCTGAGGATGCTTCCACATGAGTTTCTTACTTCAGGAAATTTTTTTTTAAATGCCATTAATTTTTAACAAATTCATGATTATCTCCCCTTGTGGCCCTTCAAAAAACTTGAATCCCCTTTAAAATACTTTGTGCCAAGTTTGATATATGAAAATGTGAAAAGTTTACGACGACAACGACGACGACAACGACTACGACAACGACTACGACAACGACAACGACAGACAACGGACAAATTTTGATCAGAAAAGCTCACTTGAGCCTTCGGCTCAGGTGAGCTAATAACTGCTGGAATATTTTGATGAAGACACACAATTTATATCATTATTTCTATAATCAAAGTACTGAAAGCACTCATGGGAGTTGAACATTGTAGTAGAATAAAATCTTTGATTGGGAGGTTAAGTGATTGAACAATATTTTTATTTCAAATACAGACAACCGTTTCAGATTTTTTGAGTTGCAACAATCTTGAGAAAGACATTCAGAGACATTGAATAGCAAAAAATGCAAGGGCTATAATGCTTGCCTGCCTACATTAGTCCTTTTTTTATACCCCCTGCTTGAAAAGCGGGAGGGTATTTATTAATCTGGATTTCAGTCCATCTGTTTGTTACGCTTTAGGTATACCCATCTCTTATCCGCATCTCCTCTTACACCACTGAACGAAATTTTCATAGAATCTTTATTACATATTGCCGCTGTGCACCTTCTATTACTTTTTCATCTTACATATATTTTGGGTTTCCCATTGCAAAACATGAACACTGCCATTATATTCATATTAGAGGCCGTTGATCATTTATATAATTCACTGCTCACAGTCTTCAAATTTGTCATATATTTTTCCTTGGCACCTTTACCCATGTGTTATGAAAATTTCAGTTTCGCAGGAATAATATCAATGTTGATAAAATGTGGATTATCACACAGCATCCTTTTAAGAGCTAACAGGTTTGTTATATAAAACTTCTCTGTGAATATATATGTATTTCAATTACACGAACATTATACATGGAGTATGTCAGAACTTAATCTTTTTTACTATTGTGAAGAAAAAAGCAATACCAAGTTAAAAACAAATATTCAATGACCAAACATAAAAACAGTGGTATATGTGAGAGTTTGTGTGTGTACAAATTATCTGGTATGTAAAAAAGGTTTTCCTTTTATTAAAAAAAAATATACTTCATTTTGTTGTTTTTAATCGTGATTTTACGAAAACATCGGTGTCCGTTTTTGGTTTTAACATTTATAACAGAGTACTAGATTTACCGCTTTTGGCAGGTGATACTGCTGGTTTAGTACTAAATACGCACGTTTCCTAAAGTTTTTATGCATTAATGAATTCATTTAAACCCAGAAAATGTTCATAAAAAGTTGGAATAATTTCTGTGCAACGGTAAAAAAGAAATTAATCATCCAGTTATGGACCGCTTCCCGTGAGTGTGTAGAGTTGTCGTTCGTATCTCTTAGGGCTGGGTACTGGCCCGAGATTTCGTATTGCGATATATTGCGATATTTTTAACTGTATTGCGATATGTATTGCAATATTTTTATTTTAATTAAAATTGCATTTACTTACTGTATTTACTTTAATTTACATGCAGAATCAACATTACTATGATAAGTAACCAAAACGAGAAAAAAATCTTGTTGATTTCATTAAAGTTATGCTCTGAAATGCTCCCTAAAAACAACTTCTGTCTTACTGTTTGGCTTAATAACAAACTTTTATAAGTCCATTTTTATATCTAATGACAAAATTCCTTAATCTAAGCATATTGCCAATATATCGATATTACAAAATCGTATTGCGATACGATATTTTTTGTCATTGTATTGCAATATATTGAAATATCGATATTATTGCCCAGCCCTAGTATCTCTTTCAGTGTATGACGCTACACTAAAACTGAGTTCCATTACGAAAAATTTTTGAGGTTCTTTATAAATTAGTTTTATTTTGAACAAAATCTAATATTCAAAATAAGATTACTTTAACATTACATTTACTTACATTTCAAATTATGAAAATTAGATCAATTCAGGAGAAAATGTCACAGGGCTCTCACACCACTTTTTGGGACTGGGGCCGGGGCCGTTCAAATTGGGAAAATTATCGTCATTTTGGGAAAAATTGGATAACCAAAATTCATTCTAAAAAATCCTCAAATTATGCTTTTCTAGCAATTTATCAATTTAACTCTGGATTTGAATAAACATTTAAACAGGACAAACATGGGTACGTAGGCTATTTATGAAAGTACATTAGCTTTGTCATTACTATCTTTGAGTGTTGATATTGCTGTTATATGTCTTTCTGAGTGCAGTTGCTAGTCACATAGTCCCGAATTTCCTCGATCACATGGACAACATTGCTTACCAATACAGCGCGAGACTGAACATGCCGAAGCGTGGGTATGTTTCAGAAACCTAGAAACTTTCTAGGTGCAGCTTACTAATGTTTAAATGAAATATCTATTTTTGAAACCAAAATGATGTTTTTTGTCGAAAATACATGACAAGATACTCTGCACTCAAGTTGGTACATTTTTGTAAAAACAATAACCTGGTTCCCCGAAACATAAATATTCAATTATTTATATTTCAAAGTGTGTTGTGTTTGGTTTCTTTTTGTAAGTTTCATGGCTTTTAGTTTGTTTATTTCTTTTGGGAAAAAAGGTTTTTTTGCATTGCTAAAGAATATAAAATAACCCTGAAATGACAGGAACTATTTGTGGCAGATATTGTTTTCTGTTGAATATCATCGGAGAAATCATACAATTTATATCATTATTTATAAAAATACTGATCAAAAAATATTGAAAGTAAATACATACACTCTTCTGAGTCTGTAGTTGGCAAGAGGTTTGATTTCTGTTAACTGTTTGGTTGCATCCTGTTCAAACTTCCATATCTGTATGATTATTACCAGGTATACATTTTGAGAGTTATGTAAATTATATAACTAAAAGCATTTTAAAAATTGTGCTTTATTTCCATTAAAAAAATTAAAAACGATTTCTAAGAAAGCGAGAGAGAAGACCTACCGTTGTTCCTCCCACCCCGCCAGTAATTAGCTCATCCCCGACGGGATTGAACAACATGAACAGGACAGATCGTAGATTAGCACTGACTGAACAGGTCTCGATAAAATCACGATTCAAAACCTACAAATACACAGTTTACAATTATAAGATGTGGTTAATGATAAAATTCAAAAATTCAAACACAGATACATTAGTTAAACTGATCTGATTCCAAGTTGTTGATAAATAATTCATATAAATAAACTGTTTCTTGTTCACTGTTTTGTGACTCTCAATGGACAGAACTGTGATATTTTGAAGTAAGAACAAATCCAGCAAACATCAGTTTGTCTCTTTAATGTCAGCTGCAATCAATTTTTATATAAAATTCATTTTACTTTGAAATTACTTGTACAAACCTTTAGTGAAAAATCTTTTCCAAGAGCAAAGTAGCAGTTGAATTTTTTGGCATAAACCAAATATGAAATCAGTCTGTATTCATACTTGGGATACATCAATGCCCTTTGAACTGTTGATTAACAATACATTATTTCATCAGCCATAGCACTGATTTATATGTAAATGTAAAAGCAAATATTTTTTTATTTAATTAACATCAAATTATTCAAATTACAAGTCATACATGTAGTCAGTATATATGCATTAATTTAGTTTAAGGGAGGTAACACACGTAATGAATCAGATAACTTACTGCGACTTTCTCCATGCAGACCGGAGTCTCTTTTCCATGTGGTGATTCCTTTTCCGTCCAAAATCACAAACTGCCTCATCCTACCATTGTACACAACTAAAGCAAAATTAAAGTAAATTAGAGCATTCACATGAATAAATGAACTGTGTTTAGTCAAGTTTAGTCTAATCATATTTCAACTCTCAAGTGTTTTTTATTTCCTAATGGAACTTTCAAATTAAAAAGCAAAAATGCGGAGCTTCATCCTTTACATGTATGTTTTCCTCCTTTATTCACAATTATCTTTTATTTTGTTAAATGACTAGGTTATTTGATAAAATGCTTTTGACCTACAAAATTAGTCGGCCTAAAAGTGCTATTTATACTAACTTCCCATAATGTCAGCATTTTTGCGGCCATGTGTGTAGGTAGCTTTTGGTAAGACTCCATAAGGAACAGAGGTGAAGTGATCTGAGTAATGAATGTTAAGCTCCTCTTGTTCAGTGTCCTCCTCCGTCCTCGAGGAAGATTCTGACGTCTCCGATTCCTCCCTCCTCAGATTCTTGGCGATTTCACCCTTAATTTTGTCCAACATGGGATCATCCAGCCCCTCCACGTAATCCTCAGACGATTCACTGGGAGCAACATAGTAAGCGTCCTCCGGCTCCAAACCAAAGTCTTCCCCGAGTTCATCTGGCCCCAGTAGTTCCGTTAGGTATGTGGAATTAGGGTTAAGAATGTCATCTATTCCTTGGTTATAAGTCTGACTGCTGACCTCTCCAATTTGATCAAGTCTAATGTTCCTCAAAATCACTTCATCCTCAAAGTGAACTCTGTCTGTTATTCCAGGCATTTTGTTACTTGGAAAACATAAATCAATTTAAGTATTTCTCAAATGATTGAATGAAAACAAGAATATTAAATTTATGAGCTAATCAAAAAATGTTAAATTTTTAAGATATTTTTAACTAAACGAACTATTCTAAAAATATTCATTGAAAATCGTGACATTTTAAAGCTGATAAAATATTCTAAACTTTCTTTATTTGACAATCTACTTTTTAGAGTTCAATTCTTGGCCATGCATTGTATTTTCGGGAAAAAATTGTTCAAATCAATTACAGGGGCACCTTATCCACTCTACTCTCTACTTCACATATAAAAATACACATGTATTTTTATATGTGAAGTAGAGAACAGAGTATATAAAATGCCCTTGTGAATCAATCGATTGTCTGTAACATCGATTGACTGTAAACAATGTTGCCCCAGAAATCTTGCAAGATTTAATGTTTTCTCGATTCCCCCGCAAAAGAGCGGTAGTAGGTTAGATAACTGCGAGGTATTCATTATGTATTAAAGTTGATCCCATATAGTTGTAATGTACATTAACAAATTTACAAGATATTGAAGTGTACAAAATGATCGAAATATGCACTATAAATAAGTAATCATAAAAAACCTTTCTGAGCTTATGCCTTTTACCATTGAAAATTTTCCATATTAAGATGAAAATCGAACTCATTTTTAAAATTCATGTTTATTTACATGCCATATTGACATTTGAACTTGATCGGATAACAACTCATGTTAAATCATAGGGCGCGCTTGATTTGTCTACACCTTACTACATCTGGTGGGCGGTGTAGACGATTTGCACCTTATAATCAAGTGAAATTGCAGTTTTACTGTCTCGGCATTTGTCAGCCAAATTGAATTTTCTGTGTAATTCCCCACATATGCCCTGCACAGGGTGTAGATGGTGTACACCAAAAGTGTACACAGTCACTTTTGCACTTGCTTACCGAAAAGTGTACACCGGAGGCGTGTTCAGCAGAGCGAATGTTCGCGAGCGCTCGCCAAATTTCCTTATACCTCCAATAGAACTGTTCGCGAAAGCTCGCGAACGTTCGCTCTGCTGAACAGGCCTCGGATGTAAGGTGTAGACAAATCAAGCGCGCCAATAATGAACTGAGATAATTCGAATTGATCTGTAAAAATATTGGTGCATTTTTGTTAGCATAAGTAAACTACCTGAAAGTTTTCAGATTACCTTTTAAATTAACCCATTGCAAAAATTCACATGGCAAGACGAGTTTTGGGGTTGAAAAATCTTTAAGAAAATGTTTAGAAAGAGCAAGTGTCCGCGCCAGTCGTCCATGATGTTTACAGATAGCAACGTCAAGAAAGCGCCATCTAGGCTCCTAACCTAGCTTTGATCATGTCGATCTGATAATTATTCGATTATATATCAATCCACCTGAAGTTCGGACGCAACTTATCAGCTTTCATTCAGCTTTCATTTGCCTAATTAAAAAAATCACAAGCACGATGTACAGTTTAAACTGAATTAATAAAACTTTTTTCAAGTGAAAAAAAAATATGGAAAACAACATTAACTTCTTATTTATTTATTCATTCATTCATTCATTCATTCATTCATTCATTCATTCATTCATTCATTCATTCATTCATTCATTCATTCATTCATTCATTCATTTATTTATTTATTTATTTATTTATTTATTTATTTATTTATTTATTTATTTATTTCATATTTTGTACATATATTAAAACATAAATTATACATGTACATGTAGGTCCAATGGGGCGGTTGTACATGTACTAGAAATGTACGTTTATATTGTATCTTTTTTTTTTTGTTTCGTTTTTGTTTGGAAAACTTTACACATGTCATTTTGATAAAATATTTAGTAAATAACTTTTTATTATTATTATTTATATTGCCCAATGTCACAATTTGCATAAAATTATAAACAATTTATGAGCTTTTTTACATTTTGACTACTTTCATTCACAGACTCTTACTGACTTACATACAGTCTCATTCTTTAGATCATGATAATAATAACAAAATGGTTTAAAAATATCAATAGTTCATATACACTATATCTTATTACAACTTTACATAAAACATATATTTACTACTCTATATAGATTTATATTGACAAATCTCTTTATGAAAAACGAACAGTATAAAATATGTTTTTAATAAGCTTAAGCTCATTGAAATATATTTTTCCACAAAGACCATTCTTTTTCAAATTTATCTATGCGAAGATTTTTGACAGCTATACATTTTTCAATATTATGTTTTAATTTAATATGATTTAGTAAATAACTTAGTTACTGTTATAATTTCTGCAAAATTAAAATTAATTTGAAATATAAAATACAATATAGAAAGCAGGAAAATTGGTACCGGAAGAAGTTAGCATTGAAAAAAGTTGGCTCTTTGACCCCCCCCCCCCCCCCCCCCCCCCCGCACGAAATAGGATTTTCGAGTTTGGGCAATTTATAATTTTCGCGTTCTTTTTCTCTTTTTTTTTGCTTGTCAACTTTTTCAGGTAAGTCAAAAAAAAATTTCTCTGGGCTGTCCCCCCTTTCAAAAACGATGCTACGTGGCTGATCATAATTAGATTTGGTTATGATTACTACGTTTGTTAGCTTATTTATGCAAGCCTGTACACGGTCCATGTCTAGTGGACTGGCACAATAAAAATCAGTATAAAGCCAATCTAGCCTTTAGTTAGTTAATTTTATGCTAAATAAATGATAACTTTACTAAGAGTTGAAATTTAATCATTTCATTTCTTTCATTTTCACAAATATAAAATGAAAATCTCTCTCGAAAATTTCTGAAATACTGAAAGGAAAAATATGTTGTTTTTATATTTTTTGTTCTTTTGTTTATGCAACTGAATATAGAAAGAAATAGTTTTGATTTCTTTCGCTATCTGTAGTATTTTATCAGTTGAAATATTTTACCTTTGTAGTTTTATGATGTTTGTTTTTGTTTTAATTGTTTTTAATATTCGTTTTGCTTACAATTATCTTTTTAATTAATTTTGTAAACATCAATGGACGAGCAGCGCCTCTATTAAAGACCAAAAGAAACCCCCTAATTAATTATTGCAATTATCAGATACACGTGTATATATTGCAAGACTAGGAAGATGGATATTCATAATTACATGATCAGTGCACAGAAGAAAGACATTCACTGCAAGCAATAAGTGAGTTACTCCTTATTTTTTTGTTACATTATCTTCCTGTACATATATAGCATATATCTTGATTACATAAATTCAATTCAAATGACTGCGAGATTTCTAAACTGGTAAATATCTATAAGCATGCATGCTATAAATTGAATTCGGTACAGAATTAACAATCAGTCTTTGATTTGAACATATTTTATTGTTTAACACAAAAGGATCAGAAACAAGTTCTTACAACTTACAAGTTCTTCTCCTGGTGTTAGTAAAGTTGATACAGTTAGTACAGTTGTCATAATAATAACATAATAAAGTATATATAATATTGACAAGTAACATAAATAAATTGAAATGTTAATTAAATCTTCCAGATTCATTGATAAATATTTACATTCAGTGTAATTTTCTTTATGAAATGTATTAGAAATCCACGACGTTCAAATTTCTATAACACACGCGAAACCTTGTCACAACGCGGTAGAATACACAGTAGGAACTACATCACGGCCAGGAACACGTTAAGTTCCAAGACAGTACCGTTGTCAGAAACATTTAAAGTTAAGCACTAAAAATGGCTCGTTGTCATGAAAATACAGGTAAGGTTATGACAAAAACTGTCCGGTGTCATTACTTTAGAAGACAGGTCGTGAGCAGTTTTTCAATTTTTAAGTCAAATAATTTCAACCAATGTCTGAAATTGCAATGGGGAACAGGACTGACACCCCTTTTGGTGTTGTATGAATTTCAGCCGTTAAAATGAAGTAATAAAAGAGGAGTTTGCGTTGGCAATCACATGCCCATGTGTGAAGTCATGATCGTCAGCCTGAAAATTTAATATTTCTTACGTAAAATTTATCAAAATGGTCCTTTTATTTTGAAATATAAAGAAAAACTTAATTTTACATGTGTTAGGTAACTGACAGCCTATTCTTTATAGCAGGCTTTATGAAATTGCAATTTAAAAGCAAAATGTCCGTTGTCAGTACATGTTAAGTTTTTCTAGTCCGGTGTCTTTTTCTTAACATATAAGTTTTTGTTTATATGGGACTAGCTTCAGTCTGACTGAAGCTAGTCCCTATTTCAAGTACTTTGTTAGAAGTGAAATAGTAAGGACTGGTTTAAGTCAGACTTATCAATAAATACGTATATAACAAAAATGATCAAATGTATATGTACTCTTAAGAAAGAAAAAGCATATTGCAGAAAAGTTTGAATCTTTTGGGGGGTCGTCTTAGGAGTAGTGTATATACCCGAACGTGCTTACCATTCTCTGATGTTTTTTTAATATATAGAGTGCAAACGTATAACAATTCCTGAAATATTATCAGTAAAACATAAATAAAATATTGGATCTACACGAACTTAAAAATACGGAAATTTTTAATACGTATTAAATTATTGATAAACAAGTTGCTGAAAGAAGAATATCAAAAGTCTTGTTTTAAAAAGTCATAATTTCAAAAGTTCCTTGGTCGAAGCAATGATCTTGTCAGCAAATACAATTTATCATGGAGTCAAATGCAGACTAACGTTTTTCATAGTAATTATTAGGCCATTTTTTTTTGCACATTGACGGATTTTTCCTGGTACATTTCCCGATCAAGACAAGGAGCACACAGTAGGTGTAAACGGTAGACAGAGGATGTTCAATCCTAAAAGAATTTTTTGAATAAGCAAGGAAATTTATTCAAAATGAAGAGAAATCTGAACCAATGACTGGAATCTTTTACTTTGAGATATAAGCTCTTAAATTAACGTTTGCATAAAATCTTTGAATATTTCCTCAATGATAAAAATAATATAGTATATGTAATAACAGATAATATAATATTTGAATACATATTGTTTTTCCGCCTACCGACAAGTTATAATTATATAAAGTTAACATATTCGAAAAAAAATTTTAGTATTATTTTTATAGATTATTATATAAATTTTCTTAAAACATTACTTATTTGGGAAAACAAAGAGAGATAACTTTAAAAATTTGGTAAAATTTTTGTTTTTCACAAAAACGGAAAATACACCCCCCCCCCCCTTGAAACAAAAATTCATTTTACAGGTGATATGGACTATTTTTTTTCAACAAAAAAACAAAGCTTTTTGTGCTTCAAGGGGGGGGGATTTGTATACTTTATAGACAAAAAACGACAAAAACAATATTATCATAGACATGTTTATAGACAAAAAACAAAAAAAAAATTATCACAAATAATTCAATTTATGCCGCTATGAGAAATCTATTAAATCTTAAACCGTCGGATAGTTAACATGGTTACAAATTTTATTAATCGAAAAAAAGACTTTGTTTTTTTTTTGCGCCATTTCTGTTACCCTGTTAGTGCGATGGAAAAAACCCGCCACCCATCCTTTTTATGGGTTCATTTTTGTATTATTTTGCATTCTGGTCAAAATTTGTATTTTTCTTATAGTAGTAACTTGTCATCTGGAATTGGTGCAATTGTTTGGACGCCTCCAAGGATTAACTCATTTATGTTATATTTTATGCATATTTACATGTAAACTGATATTTTCACTGCATGTAAATTTCTAGTCAGTCTCAGGGGGATCACACTTGTACCTTTCATGCACCTATGTTCATGTTTTATCTTGTTTTGTTTAATATCAGGTGAGCCCCCTTAATGGTTTGTTATAAATTTACTTTATGCCATTCAAGTGAATGAAATAATCGACAAAACTGCATAATCTGTGTTTGGTTATTTTTTACTGCACTGTCTGGCTGATATTTTTAAAATGCTTATTTTTCACCAATTTCGAAGCGATTTACAACTGAAACATTACATTTTATTAATACATTTATTTTGATAATTTCTTTGCCGATAGGAAAATATACTAGGTACATTTAATCATATCCAAGACTATTTCAAAATATGGTGATCTTTCAATGGAGAATATCGTCTACCCCGGTCCCCCTTTTTATGAGCTTGAAATAGGGATAATTCACTAAATTTAGAGCTGGTATCAAAACAATTCATCAATTACCACTTAATAACTGTTCTTTGTATTAAAAACGATTTTATGGCCAAATTGCCATTAATATTAAACAAAATGAGTGCAAAATGTAGGCAGGAATCAAGAGTTAGCGAGCATATTTTTCTTCCTTCACTTTGTAATTAGTTTTCTAAGGAAAAAGGATA